AGAAGTTAAGAACTTTGGAAATCGCTGGTTTGTGGAGTCTTCCAGGTTAGTAAAAATTCAAGAGAACAGCTTGCATTATGTAGTTTTCATAGATAGATTTGCATTTAAGAAAAGCTTGGCTATAATTTTTTAAATGACAGTTATTTTATGAATGTGCAGTATTTTGTGAACGATGGTATTTTGTGAAGCACATTTGCAAAATTAGAAACCTCAAATAAACATTGAGTTGAAACCAAAGCTCGCGATGCTATTTAAACCCTATTTCCAGTATGGATACAACAAAATAAGTATTGGAAATAATCAAATTGTCTTCATAGTTCGCAAGTTCGCAAAGAAAAAGAAGAAAGGCAAAAACTTTGAGCTATTTTATTTAAGCAGTTGTATAAAATGATACACATAGGATAATAGCCATGATGTTTTTCAACAGGTTTTTTGATTAATTTTGTACTTTTTGTAAATTCCATGGTTTTTATTGCTGTATTTCATAATGTTTTTCTGTAGAATGATAATCTCTGAGAAACTGGAACTGTAAATGATCTGAAATTTTCTAGTCCCTCTCTCTAGAACAGGATTATTCCCTGTAGCATCTTAAGTATTGTATTTGGTTTAAATTACTCAAGTAATGGGAGATTAATCTGCTTCCTAATAGACCTTGCTGTTAGGAAAATGGGCAATATTTAATTTACATTTTCTTTTTGCTTCTTTTCTTCCCATTACACCTAATTGTATCTTTTTTAACCACTGTAAATTATGCTGCTCCATTGTTGGTGTTTGCACCATTAGGCATTGTTGTTTACAGCTTCCTAGCAGTGGGGGTGGGAGCTAGTATAGTTCAGGCTTCTGGGGTTTTGGCTCTGTGTTTTTATACACAAGCTTTTAATCTAGAAGAAAAACATTTGACAAAGCTGAAGAGAACTAGTGAAAAAGCAGCGTGGCCTAATGGGGTATATTTCTGCCTGTTGCAGGCATTCTGAATCATCTTTCTGGAACTGGCTTGCATTGGGGCTTTCCAGAACTGAAAGTCCCAAATTTGTTCCCTTGGGTTACTCTTCATTTAGGCATCTAATGTGCATACAGTGCTGGGAGCATTTGTCCCTTCCCACGTTCTCCAAAAAGTGCAGGTGAAATATTTGGAAAGATCCTGCTAGTAGAGTTCTGTACGTTAGTACAAATGTGTATCATAAGCTTAAAGGGTTAATGCACTGTAGGGTCAGTTGTATTTATTTTTTCCCCCCAAAAATAGCGTTCCATGGAATTAGTACACTAATAAGAGCAGTGTTTCTAATCTTTACAAAATGTATTAAAAAAAACAACAAGCAGTGGGAACTAATTGCTCAGTTGTTGGTCTGTGTAGGTAAGACATCAAATTAATATTTATACAATAACAACTGTCTCTTTCCTTCTTTTCTTTTGCTGCCTGAAGGCCTGAGCTACAATGTCTCAGTGGGATTTGGGAGTAGGTTCTGCTTGACATATATATTTTTAGTAACTGATTCTAGCAGTGCATTAAATATTATGACTGCATGTAAATAAATGGAAATGTTATCTGAACATTTTTATATCTGTCAGGTTAAGATGTTCAGTCAAGTGAATTAGATGACCACAAGAGAAATAGGGGCTGCTCTACGAGGCACTTTGTTTAAATTGAGGAAAACAGTAAGGAAGGATGATCCTTAATAGTTGTAAATGAATTATCCAGTAGCTTATGAATTCTGTTGAACACCAAGGTCGGTTTGTTAATTTGCTGCCTTCTTTTTAAATCAAGAGTGTAGTTTTGTTTCCAAATGCACTGTAGTCCCGATGTGGTCAGAAAGAGCCTTGCAACAACTGCTGGGTTGCCACGTTTCTTTTCAGCGTGGAAAGCTTCTGCTCCATAAAACAGCAGCATGTAATAGGTAGCATTGGAAATAGCATAACAGACTCTGCAGCTGAATGTGAGCTGGGGTGAGAGGCAGAACACAGAGGCTGTCTCACCTAGGCAGTCTTAAATCCAAAGAGATGTATTATATGGTTTTGAGTTGAATTTCTGTCTCTGGAAGAGTACGCAGATGAAAGCTGATGTTCAGTCTGCCCCTGAAAGGTATGCACCTTATTAATTGCAGGGTTTTAATCTGAACTCAACGTTCCCACTTGGGCATTGTTGTCCGTATAACATTTAAAGCATCCATTGTCACCATGATATTAATACCTTCCAAATGCTGTTAATAAATGCTGTTAATAAATTTCGCCCTATTGAAAAAAGAGCTTGACTGCTTTTAACGTTTTTGTTAGGTGACATATTGGTTATTTGCTTTTTGTGCAATGCATGAATCAACTATGGGGAAGCTAAATGAAGAGGAAGCAAATATTTTAGTTTTCGAAATGGTTAATCTGGTAGCGTAAGTTCAGTTTCTGTGGAAGTTCTGCCTGTTGCAAACTTCATCTTCCCCTGTTTGGAAAATGGGCTTTAACTAAATGAATCTTTTGGAAGGTTCATTGCTAAAAATAAAGCAACCTTGGTCATAGATTTACCTCTGTTTTCTTTTTATGAGCCCACTTGTCTTGAGAAGGAGGCAGAGGATGTGATACTGACAGAAGCATTTGATTCTTTGCCTTGTCTTACATACGTTATGGTTGGTTCAAATATGCATGTGTAAGTATTCTCAGCATTAAAATGAACTAAACACCAGCCTAGTCCTCTTACAGATGGCACTAGATATTCAGATAAGTAAGTCTGTATTTTTCAAAATCTATCAGTTCCTGAAAATTCCAGATTTCCACTGAAAAAAAAAAAAAGCCTAAAGGAAAGATTGTGCCATGACTCAGCCTTTCCCTGCCTGGGTTGTTAGGAAGGTTTCTGCGCTGCCTTTTGCTCTTCAGTAACCAGCGAGAAACAGGGGCAAAGCGGAATTAACAGGCTCAGCAGCTGCTGTATTGGAGGCTGGTGGAATGGAGCAGAGGTTATACGTGGATCCCCAAGCCTGGGGATCTTGTAGAGGAGTTCATTTCTCCTGGAGAAGACAGCAAATGAATGTACTCCTATTGAAAACTGGTCTGCTTGTTCTGAGATCTGTACGCTTTTCACCAAAGCCCTTTAAAATTCATTAAATAGAGCAACTCTGCATGAAGCCGTATGGGTTATGAAATTGAGCTTCCACGGCAGCTAATTAAAATTCCCCATGTGTAATGCAACTTCAGATCTTGATGCAAAGAATAGAGCACAGCAACAGCCGTGTCCCTCCTTCGTGAGTGGATGGGAGTCACTGTTAATAAATAAATATATACGGGGCTCTTTGGGCCACATCTGTGGCTAAGCTGTGTGGATACTGAACTTATTTTCTGTAACCAAGTTGGTTTTCAGAGAAAAATGTGAAGGTGAATGTGTTTGCTGGGTAAATGCTGGCTGGAAGTCAAGAGGTTTCTTTTTTGAAGGGTCTGTAGCTGAGGCTTTACTTTTTTTTCATTCTACCAAAAAAATAATTCTCTGCTTTCCACTTAACTGTTAAGAGTGGTTCCCCCCAAATTCTTTAGTTATAATCCTTTTGAATTTGGCCTCCTCCGTTGCGTTCTTTTGGATCTTTTAGACATTGGCTACTTCTGACCATGCGTATGAATATAAGGTATTGCTGTACGACTTGCTCCCTGTTTGATTTAATTCTACTTCCAACACAAAAATTCCTTCAGTGTTGCAGGAAAGTGCATTCTTTTAGGGGCTTTTGCATTTTGGAATAGCCATCGGATTTGTTTTGCCTTTTTTATTTCCTTTAGATTTAATTAATTTTGCCTTACACTTGGGGCAAGGGCTGTACTTTGTTGTCAGTTAATTATTTCTTTTTATTACTTGCTATCGCAGAGGCAGAATTCTGATGCATACTTGACAGTGGGATCAAAGCTTGACAAGGTCAATGCTTCTAAAGCATTAATTGCATTCGCATTGCTGCAGTGTATACCCCAACATGCTAAGGATATTAAAAAGTCATTAATACCTTCAGTATCAAGGTCTTTACAGGCGGCGTGCTCCAAAGCAGTTAGAGACTGGGGCGGCCCAGTTTGATGCTGAGGGAACAGCTTGACTTTCACTCTCCCTCAGGAGGTACCAGAACTTTCTCAGGGAAGGATTTATTCGGGGTATCTCCTGACCTGGTGCCCTTTCCAAAGTCCTTGTCTTGGATGGGTGATTAGATTTAGGATGTTGCCTTAAGGTGAAATGTACAAGCAGATTTAGAGGGGAGAAGTGGTTGTTACATAAACGTCCATTCTTATGGAGATAAATAGAGCAGGAGCTTGCCACCTTCCCAGCCATTAGTTATCGGCTGGCAGTTGTTCTGGAGGCCACGCAAACACCACGCTTAGCTGATCTTGCAAATTTCTTGCCACCTCCCCTCTAGGTTTAAGGTAATGTCAGTCACTACGAGCACAAGCATCCTGAATAGTGGAGGACTTCCTAAAGAGTCTGCAGGTGTTGCTTTCTGTATTGCTAACGTATGTAAAGACTGGGCATCTACAGCAAAGTCCTCAGCTGAAGAGTTTCTTGCACAATTTTCTCAGCAAAAGAGCTGGAAAATTGCCCTTGTGCATTTGGCTTCAAACAAAAATGCTCAGAAGCGTTTGGGGAATTTTCAGGTTAAAATCCCTCCCGTTCCCTAGCAATGTCTGCTGGTTTGCTGCCTCAGCTCTGGCTTGCCTCATAGTTGTGCTAATCTTTACATTTATTTTTATTTTTTTAAGGAAACGTTGTAGTACATGTGTGAGCCTGTAGTGTAAAAGTACACAGGTGATAGGAGGCAGGATGATAAGAGTACAGAGTCAGTGCCGAGCACTTGCTGGCAGTGGCATGCAAATGATCCGTGTATTGGTATTAAGCCTTACCCCAAATTACTTACTGTAAAACTTTCGGTATGATCTGATTTGTAATAACCCAAATTGTACGGTGAATACAGTTTGCTGAATACAGCGCCTGCTCTTATTTCAAAGGTTGTCCTTTGCTCTGTAACGTGTCTAAAAAATAAATAATAATTGCCTTTCTTTATTTGACTTACATATTCCAGCTATGCTATAAAATACTTTATTTCCATGCTGTAGAAGGATCATTTGAGATGCTTTTCTGGTTCTGTACTTCTTTTCATGGCTCTGGAAAAAAAGGAGTTAAGCTGTAGGATATGTGTGAATATCATTAGTGAACGATGAGTGCAATTAGCGAATTAATGGTTCTAACACTTTGATTGTTTCAGGTGGAAAGGACACCATAACGTTCAGTGACCCAGCCTTGCCTGTTATACAGCGGTCTAGGTCACCGTTGTTAGCATTTACTGAGAAGCCGCAGCAAACTGAAGTACAAGGTGAGCACCTGGACCGTAAGGAACATGATGAGAGCTGAGCACACATTTCTTTCTAAATAAAATGTAATTTTCATGCTGGGATAGCAGAAGGCAAAGTTTCAGTGGTCACTGAGATTGAATAAATCATCCACAAGTAAAATGGATAGCTGGTCCCTGTACAAAGAGCAAAGAAACCACTGAAAAATGACTGTTGAAGAGATTGCCTAGCGCTAGGCATCAGGTCGTACACCTCCAAGAATTTTCATGCCAGATAACTTGATACTGTGACAAGTTATTCATGCCTTCTGTGTTAGCCTCCTGCTCTTTTTCCCTCCCTTAGAGTGCACAGTAGGAGAGCAGTCTGTGGAACTGGCTTAGCACTTTGCTGCATTAAAGCTGATACCTAGATGAAAGGCTTCCTGATTGCACCCAGTAAATTGAAATAAGCCCCCCTCATTTTCCCAGATAAATTGACTCTGCTTTTTTAAAGTCTTCCACGTGTTTTGTTCAAAACTTTCCCCAATAGCAAGCATTAACATCTCTCCAAAGTCAAGCCTAACTTTATGTGACAGTAGCAAAAAGATAGTGTTTTCCTGATAACCTCAATTTTTTCCTGAGTTTTTCATAATGGTCAGGAGATAGGTGATTGTGCCTATCAGTGCTTGGATAAGGTCTTTAATGGACACAATATTCTGGTATGCCCAGATCTTACTCAGCTAACCATGAAGCATCATAAACAATTTATTTGTTAGTCCTGAAACTAAATAGGTTGTGGCTTAATTTTGATTTTATTATCCATATCATCATCTGATAAAAGTTGACAGCCGGACTGATCATTTTTTATAATCTTGCTCAGCTGATATTTTTGCTAAAAATAAGGAGTGAAACTATAGTGAGTAGTTCTCCAGTGAGTAATAACAACTCATAAATATTCATTTTTTTTGCCTGCTTAATCATTGATTTTTAATTAAATCTGCAGTTACTGAAGGTATTTACTTGGTGGTATTACGTTCGTTCCTTTCCTGTTCTAGGTGAGGTTGGTATTACAGTTTTGATTAAAGCTGCCTGTCAAATCTCATCAGACCTTGTTTCTGTTGCTGTGTAGCGCTGCCAAACGTTCACTCTGGACTGAAGCTTTCCATGATGTATTTTCTACTTCAGCTGATTTTTTTTAATGTCAGCCAAGTAACTTTTTTGTTTCTCTAATTCTGATAACTACTTTTTTTTTTTTTTTAATAAAAAAAAACCATGCAAACATGTAATATATCTATAATTAATAGACAAGGAATTTACAAACAGGGGAAAAGGTTTCCACCCCTGAGAAGATAAGCAGGAGTTTTCATCCCATTCTAAGCACAGGAGTGAGGAATCCAAATTCTGTCATTGAAGGCAAGATAAAGGCTAAAAGGAGGATAAGAAGTGGGCAGAGTATATGGAGGGACCGGGTAAACAAAGAGATACCATGCAGGAGCACAGATCCCAACAGGAAGAGATCACTGGAAGAAAACAGCCTTGAAGAGAAGACAGCCAAGGATTAGGCCTGTGGCAGTTATCAGAAAAATTGGCTCCCAGTAGGTCATCCTCTTTACCCCTTCCCATTTCATAACTGTAACAGAGAAATCCCGTGATTAAATTGTGGTGGATTAAGAAATTACTGCTCTGCCTGCACAAACGGCTTGTTTGTAATTTGTATGTGGCACAGGGTACCTGGTAACCTGCAGTGAGAACTCAGACAAACTTAAAACCCGCCTCTGTGACAGTTTAAATAAATGAGGCCAACTTCTTGGTGACAAAGGAGCACGTCCATTGGCCAGTCTGCCAGCTGCTGGGGAATCCATACCTTCTAGCAGTAGATGGAGCAATAACTTCTTCCATTGTTTCAGATCCTTTTCTGGAGGATTTTGTGCTTTCCATTTTCCTTTCGAAGCCTGGAAAAGAAGCAATGCGTTTTCAGCTGCAGGGTATCTCCTCCTCCTTGGAGCTGACAGCTCTTCCGCAGTCAGCAGCTCCATGGGAGTGATGCTCTGTCAACTTCTGTGCTGCTTTACACAGAGGATGACTGCCTGGAGTTGAGTTTTAGGAATTTGCTCCGCAGTGCAATTTTTGATCTCTGCAGCCTGCCTCCAAAATCTGGGGGAATTTGGCAACTAAGAAGAAGACAGGAATGTGTTCAGCAGCCTTTATTCACTGAGCAAGTATGACCTCAGTTTAAAAGTATTCCAGCAACAAAAACAAAACCACTTTTACTTTATTATTAGCTGAGTGATCAGTTGAATGATAACAGATAAGTGGAATAGAAATGAGATTCTTGCATATTTTTAAATGCTGGGCCTGAGGTCAGTCAACTGTGGCCCTATAAACACTACCATGGATATTTGGTGTGTGTTTGGCCCAGAAAATCTTTCTATCCTTTGAGCTAACATACATTTTTTACCAGAACCTTCTGTAATACATAAAATGTTGCTCTAGCTAGACATACAGATAATCAGAGGCCCTTTTTCAGGCCTTTTTGATTAAATCTGTCTGCTTACCATGATCTCATCAAGCCCTGTTCTGGCCTGTAATTATTATCAGTTTCAATTAGGCTGGATGGTAGAAGTCTGTAGGATATACTGTGCAGTTCCTGTGTGAAAATGCATAATGACATAGTACAGGCACATGAATTAAAGACTGTGTCCTGCCACAAAACCTCACTGCATCCAACGCACCCAATATATGGTGTCGTGTGATGGATTGCACGGGAACATCAGAGCCACTGGGGAACAGCTCTCTTTTTGTCGTCACTGGTGAACGCATTGTTCCTGTTGTACTGCCTGTGCTCCATTTCAAGCACTCTCTGAAGACAAAAGTACTGTTTTTCTGTGAACTTCACACAAATTGTTCTTCTATGAATGATTTATCTTCACAGCACTGCAGCGAGGTGATGGGGTGGTGTTATCCCTCTGTAGGAGGAAACCGTGCCACACAAAGAGCAATGCAAAGTCCCCTCTAATTTTGAGTGCCAAGTGGAGGTGCCTAAGTTTTAGCTATTTTTAGAGCACGGAGAGTACGTGTGTTCAAATATATAATGTGAGCACAGCAGTGCTGCAAATCAAGCTCCTAGTTTCCAGCTGAGCACTCAGATAATGAGGATTAGATCCAGTGGGTGATCACCTTTTGAAAGTTAATTTATCCCTGCCTTTTCCACAGAGTTAAATCCCAGCTCTTCAGAGTGACTTTCCCGGCTTCCTTAATGGTAGTTAGACTGTCTGTTCCCTTCGTGCCCACCCCTGTCTCACTCACTCAGCAGCTCCCAGCTTATAAATGAGGCAGGGCTGGTAGAGGCAGTAGGCTCCTGCACTGTACAGCTCAGATCCCGCCCCGCAGCCAGTCTGCTCCGTGCATGGAGCAGGGCAGGATTCCTGTGGGAGAAATCCAGGAAGTGCTCCTGTACTAAAAGGTAATGCACATGCACTGCCATTTGGAGCTGTCGGAGCAGCCCTACTTCTGGCATTTCCCAATTTTTCTTACTTGACTCCACAAGCTGATCTTCAGTGAGGCTTTTTGGCCTTAACAGAGACGAGGACAAATTCGTTCTCTTACAGAGCTGTTTGTTTGCACATCACTGTTTTCTCCGTTCTGTCACTTTATTCAGTGTTTGGCTTTCAGTGTAATAGTATATTTCATATTTTTCTGCTTTGTTTTATCACACCACCCAAATTAGAGCAATCTTTTACGTTAGGAGAAATGTTGCGGGATCAATAACAGAATTACTGGATGAGAGGCTGCGCAAAGTTAAAGGGGTTTGTGTTAACCTCTGAAAGTGGTACTGATTTGGGGGTTAATGTTAAACTATGCCCCAAAATTCTGCAGTTAAGTGCCTTGCTTAGAGTTGATACTCCTAAAAAAATTTGCCTGTGCTGTTCTGCAGTGTGGTGTCAACTATAACTCTTCTAAAATTGTCACTGTTAGGGAAAGACAGGCTCCAAAACAGCCCTGACCCAGCAAGAAAATCTGTGTTGATTGCTTATCATGTAAAAAATGGGTCAGGGACAAGACAGAGAACCACTCTGGCAATCTCTTACTGAGGCAGACATCTCTGTGGTGTGACACTGTTGTGATGGTCCCCAGGCTGGGTACACAAACATGAGGCATGTTGCTGTTCCATTTCTCTTTCAGCAGAACAGAAGGGGGAACGTAAGGAAGCTCGTGCTGTTGCAAGTGAGTCCGTGGCTCCTCAGGAAAGAAACTTGAATAACAGAAACCAAAATAAACATTTTTATCCTTCATTACCCCAGTTACCTTCTGAGGAGGAAGAAATAAACAAGCTTGAAAGCAAGATAATTAAACTGACAGAACAGGCAGTTTCAGAACTGGAAGGGAAGAGAACAGAAAATGCAGCTGGGGAGCAGAACACAGTGGTTGGGGCAGAGTTTAATGGCTCCTCGGAGGGAGATTTCCCATTCTCCAGCCCGGACACGTCCAACCCCACAGATCCCTCAACTTCTGAAAGCGAGCCAGCAGCTGAAACGGAGACCCTGAAGGACAGTGATGAAACCTCGGAGAGTGACTGTGAGATCCCAAACCAAAGGAGGCAGAACGGCGTCACCGGGGACGCGCTGGGTGCTGCGGACCCCAGAGGGCACGGGGGTCTCAGCGTCACGACTGCACGCACACATGACAGCTTGGAGGAGCCCCCTGAATCTGAGAACGTGAAACAGCCTGCTCATGCTGAAAACTGTGAATATTTGGATAACAGTTTGGCTTGAGGCATGACAGCCAAGCCCTTGCGCTTCTCACCGTAACCCTCTTGCAAGTGGGTCTGTGCTGCTGTGACTACGACCAGTGAAAGTTTGTCAGAGGACTGAGTTTTTTACACGAGTCTGTTAATATTTGTCTAACAATGGTGTTCTTCTGTTAGTTTTGACTGCAGTATACCAAAAATGTAAATAATCTGGGAGAAAGAACTTGAAGCTGTTTGGGTTTAATCGTTTTGGTTCTTTGTAATGATTTGAGGTTTCTGTGTAGGTGGATGTGATTTACAGCCGTGTAGCAGAGCCCAGTGATAACCATGTGCCACGTTCTCGCTGGGCTTCTGGAAGGCCTGCGGTCTTAGTGCTGGACTTGATTTTAATGGTTAGACATGTCCAGTGATGGAAAATTGGAATGATGAACTGAGAAGTACCTTAAGGTTGCAGGGTTTTGCCTGTTTCTCAGACTGCATTCTGTTTCCCTGTCCATAATGGCTGTGGGTACGTCCTTAGAATAAGACCGCTGTTGGTAATGGAAGCAGAAAGCTCTCTGAGAACCATCCCTGCCTGTGTTGTTCTCTCATTTCACACCTTTGCATCTTTTACCTCCCTCTCCCGGTTCATCTCATGAAAACAAAGGGAGTTATTACACCAGACACTAAGAACCCAAATCAGTGATGCTCTGAAAAAACATCCGAGGAGCTGGAATTATTGCTGTGAGGAACAGCAGTGCTGCTCCAAGCAAGGAGAACAGCAGGAGGAGAACCAGCTATGCCCCACCGGCCTGCTTGGTGCTCTGGGGTACTGGAATTGCATCCCTCAGCCTCCAGGAGCTGCAACAGCCCTCAGACCGTAACGGGTGGTAGATTTCAGCCTACTCCATTTGTGCCTTCCTTTTCGAAAGAATTTGTGTTTTATTTTACGTTTTGGAAAGCATACAAAAAAATCATGTTTGTGTTTCCTCCTCGTTTCACCGCTCTTTGTTGTAGGAGGTTTATTTGTGCTGTTACCTCTTCCTTAAACTTCTTCCCCTGTTGGGGTTCAGTCACAGGAAAGCTTTTTGCCTGTCACCGCTGCAAGAGGGAGGGAGGCTGCTGTGTCATTCCCCAGCCCGCTCCTGACGCTGGAGCTGTGCCACTCTGCTCCTCGGAAGGCAGCAACAAGGGAACGCTCAGCGGTGAAGTTAGCAGCTGGCGGAGAAGGGGAGGCACGTCCTTCCCCTCCTGCTCGTAGCACAAGGAATCGGCTCTGCAGCTGTGGGGCTTCTATGGGCCAGCAGCCCTCAAGGCAATTTTTCTGCTGGCTTGGGAGCTAATTGTCTGTAAATGTTCATTTCTCACTCCCAGAACTTGAAACCAATCAGAGGGAATTAAAGCAAATTTAATAAAATACTACTAATAAAAAGGAAAATCCCTCCCAGATTGAAGCCTCCTTTGACAAATAACTGCCAGCTGCAAATTTTTACAGCCCACTTGTCAGCCGCTGAATAAACAGAGTTTATATTAGCAATACTGACAAACTCTGCTTAGATGGGAGCTGCGCTAGCAGGTGCTGCCAGAATCAAGGTGTCAGAGCCCGTGAGCAGTTTGCATTCAGCAGAAGAAGGGCTGTATGTAAATGATTACACGTAAATATAAGGAATGATGGTGGGAAGGTGAAAAATGTGGCTTGTGGCTGTTCTCACATGTGTTCCTCGCCAGGTGCCTTCGTGTAACCCTTTCAGTGTCTGTCTGCAGGCAGCGAACCCATAGTCACCATGCTGCTGGGGTGCGTTTCCTTCCTCTTGAAAGGTTCTTTGACACTGCAGCATTTCACAGCAGCCCTTAGGGAGAAAACATCTGTATATTTAAGTGCGTCGGGAACATGAAGCAGTAAAAAGTTTTCCTTTCATTACCCTGACAAAAATGTAAGTTCCTCATAACCGGAAAACCACAAAGAGTTTAAGCATTTGAAAGATTGTTATGCCATTGCCATTAATTGTAACTGACTGCACTACTGCCTCATTTGTGTGACAGTACTGACAAGTCGGAAGAGAAATGGCTGCAGAAACTGAAATCTCCGGGAGATTGTGGCAGATTTTTTTTTTCCTATAATGCTTGAATGTTACATGAAGTATCACTTTATCCAAGATACGTTCTTCTCTATCTTTCAGAAGCTAATCCTGCACGGAGCTAAATATCAGTGTGGTCAGAGCTGATGCAAGCCAGTAAAAGAGGCAGGGTTTCATGAAGCCGAGCTCTGAAACGTTCAGGTGAAATGTTCAGGGTGTTTTATGGATGGTGTTTCTTTGTCCTAAATCTTCCCTGACCCACAAATGTGTGAGCTGATGTTTGCTGCTGTTCTCTCAACACCAGTTAATGCCATTAACTAATGGAGAGATTGGAGCAGGTGGAAGCAGTGCTGGACCAACAGTTGCTGTGCAGTGCCTCAGGCACTGATTCGTTGTGCTGTGGTTGTTTTCGGTGAGAAGAAAACGGAGAAAACTCAATATCAACAAGGTCATGGGGTAACTCTCCTTAAATGCCATGTTTGTATCTTTCATAGAATCATAAAATGGTTCTGATCATAGAGTGATGGCTTGGAAGGGACCTTAAAGATCAGCTCCAACCCCTGGCCATGGGCAGGGACACCTCCCACTAGATCAGGTTGCCCAAAGCCCCATCCAGCCTGGCCTTGAGCACCTCCAGGGATGGGGCATCCACAGCTTCTCTGGGCAACCAGTTCTACTGCCTCACCACCCTCTGAGTGAAGAATTTCCTCCTAATGCCTGTTTTTTGCAACTGTTAAATTCCAGGAAGGTACCTGGATCTCTGGAAATCTCACTTAGAGTGCAATATTCATACTGTGATGCTGGTCCCGTGCGTTCTGCCCGAGTTAATGCGTATTCTGGCTGTGGTTTTAGCCTTCTCCCAGGAACACAAGGTTTCAGCCCCAAGATGCTTGTAGAAGTCAGACTGCACTACATGATAGCTAATTTAATAGTCTTGTCAGCATCGTTCTAGGATGTTGTTTAAATTTATATTATTGTGTTATTAGGACTGTGATTTTTTTGGGTAAATTCATTCATGTTTTGTTATGGAATCAACACTACTTTACTGGGTTTCTTTTAGACTCGTGTTCCCTTTTCCTAGGATTTTAGGAACGGGGAAATCACCTCCTGCTGTAAGCTCTTTTGCTGCTGGGCTCTGGGGAAGCAGAATGCTGTGGCAAGGGGATGGATGAGGTGCGTTTCATAAATGGATCTGAAGCACATTGCCTCACCTAAGAGCAAATCCACGCGCTACCTGTGAGGAGGGTTTCATTTGAAAGTACTGTGCCACGGCTATCTGAAAAACAATGTTCAGTGAAGTTGTAAAATAATTGTGTGCAAATGACAGCTGAAGAAGCGTCTTTGAGAATGCTGTGTCTTTTCTAAGTGAGACTATTTTTAAGCATAGGGTAATTTGTATAATAAAGACAGGGGGATTTCTTTAATCCATATGAGCTCAGGAATGTATTTCAAAATCTTAACCGAGATTAAGTTGAAAGTCTGCTGCGTTTCTAAAAGATAGGGTTTTGCTTACCAGCCTCTGTTTTGTAGTTTTACTTTTTAAACGATGTGGTTTAATTTATTTGCAAACCTTCCTTTTGTTGCTGCCTGGATTAACTGTGCAACGTAGTTCAACTGTATTAATACATTTTGTCATCTTTAATAAAACCATACATTTCCTGATGCGCTTCTACCTGCTGATTTCCTTTGCTCAGTATCAGATGAATGATAGTGATGAGTTAGTGCTGTAGTATTTCCAGGGTTGTGTTAAAACAGAAAAATAAAGCTTTATAGAGCGAGACCTCTACGTTTGTTGAACATTATCTGGCTGAAATGTTTTCGCTGTCACATCTCCCTGTCTCGGCTGAGTGATTTACTTCCTAAATTTTTGTGTGAAGAAACACACTCAGTATTTTGTGGCTTTGAAAGTAATATTCGTCTCTGCTAATTCTATCATCGCTGTCCAAGCAGCATTAAACCTTCTGTATGCAACCCAGTCGCTACCAGTCACAAACTGGAGGCGCTCAGGAGTTTTTGCTGGGGAGTTATGGAAAGCTGGAGTATTTAAGTCCGCTTTCGGTGGTATTCAACTATATGTGCATGTGTAGACAGCCTAAGCCAGTTTAGAAGCTCAACCATGTTTGAGAATAAAGCCTGAAAATACCACTAGAATAGCACAGTGAATCTCAAGTTTGACATGGAAATGTCTGTACTTTCCCTTATTTTAGGGGAAATCCGTGACCCAAGTCTTACAACACAGCACTCAAAGCTGTTGAAAGCGCTGAGATCTTTTTACCTTCTAGATTTGCAGCTAAGTAAGGGACAGCATCTAATCAGAGGCAATTCCTCGCTTATTTTTACTTATTTTTGTGAATTTTGGTATCTGACTTCTGGTCCTGTGAGAGCGCCTCAGGATGCGCAGCCTCTACCGGCTTTGTAACCCACGCATCCCAGCACTCCTCCTTTCCCGCGTGCCACCCCAAGCTGCACAGAAGGGAACCTTTTCATCTCCAAGAACACATAGCACGGCGTTGAGTTGCTGCTGCTTTTATTGACCAGCTTACAGAAAGGCAGCCCTACAAAGTGATACACATTTGTTAGAGAAGCAAGAGGACGGGGACGGGAATCCCTTTGCCATGTGTTGTGGCAGCCGACAGCGCAGTGCTAGGTACTTGGTGCTGCCCAGGGACTTTCTGGCTCTCCCTAAAGCCTGGTTCTGAGCAATCTCTTCTTCTTGTCCGCCACCTCAGGCAGTTTCTCTTCCCACAAGCTCCCGCTGCACACCCCGATCACGCAGCAAGCCAGGCGCTTGCCCGCGTTGCCGTTCTCCAGGCTGGCCTTGTTGTTGCCCTTGCCCATGTCGTCTTCCTGCTCGTGGATCACGACGGATCTGCCCAGGATGGAGTACGGGCCGAACAAAGTGGCGAAGAGATTCGGTTTGAATTTCCTGATTTTGCCATCTTTGGGAGAGAAGTTCCCGAAATCCCCCGGGTGGCGGGGGTGGTTGACGCGGAAGGGGTTGTAGTGGCCTCCGGTGGAATCGCAGCCGCTGCTGAGGTCCCCCAGCTCGTGGATGTGGATCGCTCTGCCGGGCTGGTCGTCGTTCAGCGGAAAGCCCTCCAAGTGAAAAATGGCTTCCAGCCTTCCCTGCGGGTAATGCTGCCGGAACAGGACCTGGCCGGTCACCTGCGGCTTCTCAGCGTCTAGTTTGGGGCTGGGCTGCATCTCACAAGCGGCGTAAGTCATCCCGCCGGTCTCGTTACCGGCCGTTAGCGGGTAGAGCAAATTCTGCCAGAGGTCGTTCACTTTTTTCTGTATGTCTTGAAGGGTCTCTCTGCTTGGCTCGGTTTCTTCTTCCGCCGCGATGCCAGGGGCGGGCAGGGCGAGTCCCGCGAGCAGAGAAAGCAGCAGAAGCATCCTGGCCACGCTGAGCCTGCGGAGTGCAGAGGAAGCCAGCAGGAGTGAGAGGCCGGTGGCAGCAGCCTGCCTGGGGAGGGACACGGAGCTGCAGCTGCAGCCTGGTCCCAGCGGGCTGCGAGTAATGGAAGCTAAAGCAAAACACGCCCCTGTAAACGCAGAGAGCTGTGCGTTACCAGTGGAAGCACGGAGCCAGCGAGCGGATTTACCTCTCCCAATCACCGCAGGACGCCTCGGTGGCAGCTCCTCGCCTCTGCTCCCACCAAGCAGAGTGCGGCCAGCCCTCAGCGCCGAGCTGCTGGAGGCTGGGGTGTGCTTGTGTAAGAGCTTGGAAACGCAGCACAGGGGAGGGCTGGAGGCAGCAGGGACAGGGAAAAGTTTTCATTCTCCGAAAGTTTCCAAAAGAGAACTTTTGGAAAAAAACTTTGCCCTCACTCTGTTCGCCTGTGAAACTGGCTCTCTGTCCTCATCACCATCCCGAAACAGAAGGAAAAAAAAGTCACCAAGCTGCTAAAGTGATTTGCCTGGTGATGGCTTCGTGTGCTTATCTAAAATGAGCGACCTTCCCCGGGCAGCGAGGAGAGCGGCAGCTTCGCTGAGGCTCGGCTGGAGGCTCGGTCACTGCGCTGTGCTGGTTGTCATGGAGTTGTTTTGCATTCCCATGCCTGCGCTCCTCAAAATTGAAACTGGTCCTTCAGCAACAGGAAGTGTTGCACATGGACGTGTACCAAACGTTTGGTGGGTTTAAAACCTGGAAGGCACAACCTGAACTCTCAGAGGTTGAGGCACATTTAGTGCAGAGCTGTGCCTGCAGCGTGGATGCAGCCACCACAGGGGCAGTTTAGCAGGCTGGGATTTGTGCAGGGAGAGAGGAGTAGCTTGTGTAACACAGGAACAATTCACAATATAAGAAAATTGTAAGGAAAAGCCTTTTTTTTTTTCCCCAATTTGTGTCTTCTGCCAGCTGGGAAAGAAACGTGGCTGTCAGCTTCTGGAATGGTAAAAATGTGTGTGTTATCCTATGGGTATCACACGCTAGATCACACCCAAGATACCCAGCTGCAAGCTGATTTATTTTTTTCTTTTGGTGTGGGGGCAAAGAGAGCTGAAGGAGTGCCTCCTGCTTGGCTCATTTGCCAGGCGCTGGAAATACGGGGTCAGGTAATTCTGCTTGGGATATTGCGATATTGAACTTTAACCCTGGGCTCCTGTTCCTACTCGATGAAATGGGACAACTGGTGGTTCTTTTCTTTGGGGTATTTACGAGCTCTTCACATCCCTGTGCCGATGGGAACCATGGAGGGGCTGAGCCAGCGCCTCCTCCTGCCCTGCCTTTCCCCGGGTTCATCCCTGGCAGCCTCCGAGCTGGGGAAATGCACGCTCACAAAGTGCTAATGCATTTTACAGCAGGAACTCGGGGCAGAAGTGTGGCTGCTTTACATGCAGTAATGCTGCTGACTTGAGTGCCATTTGTGCTGTTTTACACCAGCTGGGATTCTGTCCCTAAAAAAAAAAAAAAAACAAAAAAAAAAAACAGAAGCCCTGAAAAGCCCAGGGTACTTGCTGCAAAGCTCTTCTTTGATGTACTGCACATGCGGGAGCCAAGCAGAAATGCAGACGGGTGTAAAGGAGATGATCAAAGGGACAGAGAGGACTGCAGCAAAGCTAAATGATGTATTTGTAGTGCTCTGCACTTCAGAGAACGCAAAGGAAAGAGTAGCTGTGGGCTGCTGTCAGAAAGATGTATTTTAAAGAGGAGAAGGACTGATAACTACAAGAAATGCAATTGCCAGGGTGGTTGGCATTCATTCCAGCTCTGAACGCTGAAGTACTAAGCACTAACCAGGTGGAGCATTAAAGCCTGTTGTAACCCACTGCCCATGTTTTAGTTTTCTATTTGAAAAGTGGTGACGAATAATGGGCTAATGGCCCTTACAGCAGGCAGCAGGCAGTGGGAGGAAAGCCCCCATGACCTGACTGTGCACTGTTTAAAAAATAAACCTCTCTTTTTAAAGCCATGGTGTACAGGAGCTGGGGTATACTGAATTTCAGGCCATGTCCTAGGATTTCCTGGGCTCTGCAAGCCAGAGCCACCCAAACAAGCCAGCGCTGTTATTCACCAGGCCGTAAGCTCCACACAAGGGTAGAGCCTTTGCCTGTGTTCCTCAGGGCCCAGGATTTCGCTCCCCTGTCCCAGTCACCTCCTGATGGCCAGAGGGACTCGCGCTCCCAACACAAACCGAAATCTCAGTCCATGCCGTGACCTCCTTGTGCTGGTTGCTTGGTTTGGGGCAGACTCTGTCCCGTTGCACGACGTTGCTGCGTGACCTGACATCATTTGACTCACCCGGTGTCGACTCAATGTGACGCAGGAGCGCCGTGTGGGAGAGCGCCCGTCGGAGCGAGCAGTGGCCTGCTTCTGTCTGCAGCTCGGCTCTGCTCTCCGCGGGTTTACGGCAGGGTGGCTCTCCATAAAAGTGACACCCAGGGCAGGCAGGCCTTACGTCTTCGGCTGCAGGTAATGGAGCTGACTGCTCTCCTCCGCGTATGGCTGAGGCTGGAGCCGCTAAAGGCAGGGGCTGTTTGTAGCCTGAGGGAAGCAGAGCCAAGATCATTGGAAACCTAATGTGCTCCTTCAGTTCGGGGCGCTCTCTGCCATTCCTGAGTCATGGTCCCAGCCTGGGAGCCAGGGAGGCTGGCGGGTCATCAGGCAGCAGTCTGAATCCAACTGTGCAGGAGTTTCGTGCTCGCTGTAGAGTGACTGCAGGGCACCAGATTTTCCATGCATTGTCTATGGCATAGTATCGTACATGCCCTGCGCAGCAATCTCCTGCAAGCACATCACCAGCTCTGCACGGTGTCTGCTGTGCCTGGGCACCTGCCTGCAGGTCTGCAGGTAAGCCTGCAGTGTTATTTAGGATCTGTGGAGCTACAAGCAGTGGTGACGAGCTAGGACTTAAAGAGGAGAAATGCCATCAGTGTGTCAGTGAGCAGTTTTTGCCCACGTCTTGCAGTACAGGGCTGGCACTGGGGTGCTAACAGCACCTCCTCCTGCAGAAACCAAGGTGGAGAAACTCATTTTGCAATTGCTGTAAGGTGAAAAAAATGACAGGAGAATGAGAAAACTTGCTCTAGCACAGGGGCAATCTGCCACTGGTGGAGGCCTTCTCTTCCTGTTTATTCCCATTCCTCGTCTTGGTGGTTCGGTTTAAAGAAATAAAGATATTTAGTGCCTGAGATAAGCATCCATTTATAATCTTCTTGCAAAAGAGCTATGTGCATTTCCAACTTTTCAGGGCATTACCCATACAAAAAATCAAGTTAAATAAATACACAAAAGGGAAACAACACTGTTCTCTGCGGGGACTAATTTCTCTTGAAAATGGAGGATCGTGCAACTGTCAAACTAGTTTCCATCAGCCAATTTGAAAAACTCTTGAAATTCTTCCTCTTTAATAGCTTGTGAAGAAATCATTTTATGAGAGTGAGAGGAGCTGTAAAGGAACTGTAAGTAAGCTTTTTGACAAAGCTGCACTCAGAAACCCATTCTGGTTCTGTCAACCTAATTTAACAGAATTTCATCTCCGCATGTGGATATAAAATATTAATATGTAACATAAAAATTAGGGATGGAACCCAACTATTAGGTAACTTAGGTTATTATTAGTGTTTGTATTAATTCCCTGACCTTTTATTACATAGTTATCCTTTCTGCTGCATTGCATTAATCTGAGGAAGGTTTTGCTCTCTGAGAGGAGAAGAACGAATGCAAGGCTGCCCTCCGGCTCAGTGGCCACTTGCCATGTATGGAAAGAGCTTGATTTTTTTCTTTTTTTTTATTTTTGGATTCAAAGTGCGCATTGCACAACACGTGGATGTTTGCACAACTTCAGGTCTGTGTGTGGCTTCCCGTCAAAGCTCGGGAGCCACGGGGCAGCTGGGCCAGCAGGTCAGCCATGCGAGCAGCAGCCGCATGCAAGCAGTTAAATGATCCCTGTGCCATGGCAAGGGATGGCAGCAAAGCATCTCAGAAAGCTAGTGATCATCATGGGTGAGGAGACCATGACTTTCAGATCCTTCTATCTTGCTATTGTGCTATTGTGTTAAGGAGAGCTTGGTTTGAGCTGCCAGGTCCCTTTTGGAGCCGGAGGCCCCCTACCCGAGCAGGAGGCAGGTGTGAGGCCTGCAGGCCCTGAGCGCTTCCCAGGGCCAAAATGGGGAGCCCAGTCCTTCCCTGCAGGAAGGAGCCCAGCCCTGGCCTGGGCTTGTCCCCATCCTCAGGAGCTGGTCAAACAGTCCCAATCCTTTTAAGCTTTCCTCCTAGCTTTTCCAGGCTCCTGTACTGTATGCCACATGTGCCCATGGAGCGCGCACCTCTTTCTGGAAGGGAGGTGCACAAACACCTCAGCACCTCCGGCAGCCAGGAAGGACGGTGCACTTGTCCCACAGGCTCTGTTATTCTCCACACCATAACGTGGCTTTTGCCTGATCCTTTCCTGCAGAACTGCTGTCTGTGCAATTGTTTCCATTTTGCATTTCTTTGGTTGCTATTCCTGCCAAGTATGGGATTTTACCTTTGTTCTAATTGAGTTAACCTCCTTTTTATTTCATTTCCCCCGCCCCTTATTGTTTCTCCAGCTTGTCATGAACATTTTGAATTCTAATCCTTCCCTACAGTGTATTTACAGCCCTTCCAGCCTGGTATCAGCTGTGAATTTAATCAGTTTACTTTTTTGTTCTGTCATCCAAGTCATTAACAGAAGGGTTGAATGAAGCCGAATCAAAGACAAACGTGTGCATCCGAGGCAGGCTGTCCTCCCTGCTAGGTGCTGACAAGTCACCAGGCTGGGAGCAGAGTTCCCATCGTCCCAGCACCTGCTTTGTAGCACTGGGAGCAAGACCAGTTTATCCCCTAGCTCGTGTGCAAGAATGTTGTGTGAGGTAGTTGCTGAAGTTAAGATTCACTTCTACATCTTCTGTACATGTAATGCTTGTTATTCTCTTATATCATTATATAAAATAAATAAATAAATACATTTCCTGATATCTTTTACTTATTTCCCTTTTTGGCCCTCAGGTGAATGCAAAAAGTGTGTTTCTTTTAAGGGTTTTTCTGTGGCTGTGACTTCTGAATTGTGCTTTTCCTATCCTCCCTGGATCTTCAGAGTTCACAGGAACCAAAATCATTCACTGGCCCTATCACACATACCCACGTTATCATTATTATATTATTATGTAATATTTGAAGCGCTGCCTGGTACCGAGTGGTGTTTGAACCCTCAGGCATCCTCAGCTCATACAAAGCCACCTTTTGTGCACACGTCCTCACATTGCTATCTCCCTTCTGCCAAAACCGTCGAACTGACCTGTTGTATCTTAATGTTACATCAGCTTTGGAAGGAGAGATGGGGTTAATTCATGCTAACTAGACTAAGTACTTTTCCACAGGCTTACATTTTTCATCCTCTCATTTCCTGTAAGCAGAACCTGTGGGTAAAAGCCCCCACCTTGTCCACGTTCCTCACCACCTTCTTACAGCTGCCAGTAAGGCACAACCCACCACAAACAGGGCAGCTGTGTCCACTCCCAAGTTTGTATCTTAATGTAGAATCGCATGTGCATGTCAAGTTTCTAGACAAAGAGAAAAAATAAGGATATTTTTCTAGACTCAGGAGGATCCTGGTGTTCCCATGCCACGAACAAGAAGCCTCCCACTAGGATTAAATTCCTGCCACCTGCTGCAGGAGCCAAAGGCTCTGCTTTGCACAGGGGCAAAGTAGAGCTCAGCAGAAGCTGAAGGCAATCATGTTTTATGAAGACAAAGCCCACCAGGCTTTGATATGGGACAGGGGCAGGCAGTGGCCAGCAGCTCTGGGCTAGGAGAAAGTCAGAGCTCAGTAGCACCCAGCAGGCTCCTGAGAAGGTTCCTGCTCCATGACTGCCACAAGGTACAGGGGAGCAGGCTGAGCTCCTGGAGGCTTTCTCAAAGCTGGCATTTCACCACAGACCTTGTGGTATGTTACTATTAAAGAAAGAGCAAAACAGAATAGTATGGCGTACTGTTGGATAACCATTTCCTTTGAAACTTCTATTAGGTAGATCGGGGCCTGAACACTTGAGTGCTTTTGAAACTGTTTGTGGTAGTACCATCGCATTTGTATTTTTGACACTAGTAGGGGAACTTTTTTTAAAAAAGCTTACATTTTTCTGTAGAGTAAAAATTGCTTCCATGCTCAGGTGGCTCCCTACTTTTTTAGCCATATTTATTCTAGTGGGTTGATTTTGTAAGCATAACTGAAACCCTGGGAGACTAATGAAGTTTAACAGTGTGTGTTAATTATATCCACTTCTGTTGTCTCAGTGAAAACACGGGATCCTAAATCCTATTTACATTCTGAAGTTTCAGAGGTTCCAGGTCCCTCATCTGACCTTAACATCTCTTAGTTTCATGCGGCTTTCATAAGCCTGTGCACATATTTAAGTTCTCCTGTGGAGAATGTTTTCTGAGATCAGATGTTCAGGGATTATGAACACAAGAGTTTTGTTACCTTGTTTAAAATCATTTTGACGTTTTGGTGTAAGTCATTAAGACTGTTTTCTTAAACTGTCTAATGGGCCACAGAATGGGTGAACCATTTTTAGAAAAAATAAATAGAAGCACCTAAGTTTCTAATTGACCCACCTGCAGAATTCCAACATAAATATTTTGCCCACTCTGAAGTAAATATTTGCACCTGAATTCCTCCCCAGGAAGACTACTTCCCAGTTTAGCAAATAATTAAAGACAGAGGCCATGCTTGGGGGAAGCACGCAAGAACGGTCCCTTCCATCTGAAGGTGCTCTCAGTACTGTTTATTTTTATTTTCTTTCTTTTTCCTTCTCCAAACTGTGCAAAAGGACCAGGTTCCCCAAATGCTGCCAGATTTGGGGATCTCTGCAGAGACGTGAGGTGTTTCTGCTGGTTCTGTTTCAGCCAGGTGGGTCCCGTTAGTTCCAGCCCAGCAGTGCAAGCTATTTGAGCATCTCTGAAGCTGCATGTTCAGGTCTAGAAAAACAGAGCTGGTATAAGGCAAAGCACACAAAGGGAATACATTTTTACCAGCCCCAATGTATGCATTAATAAACAAGACTGAGAATGCCACCTGCTTTCAGGAAGGTTTTCAACTTGCAGGGCATGGAGTTCTTAATAGTATTCCATTAGCTATAATGAGGAATACTGGTGCAGATTTCCCCCAGGAAGATGGTACACATTTGTACAAAATAAGGCTCCTGCTGGGCTGCTTTATGAACGTGGAGTCTTTCAGTTCCAGTTAAATAGGATAACCAGCTGTTTTCTAGAGCACATGGAGAAATCCTTGGATTGGATGTTGTTCCTACTCTCAGCGTTAGGATGCCTGTAATAAATGAGTAAGAATATAGCAAGTATTTCACTGTGGCCCTGTTGAAGGGAAAGCAATTCTTCAGATGCATTAGAAACTGCTCTAACAGATGCAAGAAAAAAAAAAAAAAAAAAAAAAAAAACTTTTTATTTTTTTTTGAAGTTGTCCTTTTTTATTTTGTTAGAAACTTACCTTCCATCTCCAGCTCCCAGGTTTTCTTCCTATGAGCTATCGTCTGTTTTGTCACTTGCAAGGCTTTATTCTCAAAGCCTGCAGATGTTATTAAAACTGAGGATTATAAGGTTATGAAGTGCATTGTAGAAGCCAGATACAGATTGGATGTTTTTATTAGGGGATTACTGAACTTTGTTAACAGGAGTGAGCCTGAACTACTCTAGTGGAAGTTCTGCCGTGCTGGTTATGAAACATCTGATCCTGGAGCAGAGACAGAGCTGCACCTTAGCCAGGTCCCAGTCTCCAACCATGCTTCACGCTCATGGTGCATAAAGCTGGACCACTGACAAACAATATATAATGGTTTCATTGGAAAAGATTTGGTGTGGGCATGGCAGAAAATATCTACCCACCATAAAGTGCCAGATATTCTCCTAATCTCTTGTTCACTTCAGAATCCATTTCTACTTCTGGCACATACTATAGACAACAAAACTACAACAAAATAAAGCATATGAGATACATGCTTTCATGTCAGTTTTAAATATATTGAAAACATCTACCAGTTTTTGTAGCTTTTTATAACTTGCATAGGCCTACATGATGCTAGGCCCTTATGCATGAAAACTCCCCCCAGTTTTACTGCTGAGCGTGGCGTCATGTAGCATGGAACATCCCCTTGGTCACTCCAGGTCAGCTGTCCCCAGCGTATCCCCTCACAGCCTCCTGCCCACCCCTGCCTCCTCACTGGGGCACACAGAGAGAAACAGGGAAGCCCTCGATGCTGTGAGAACACCGCTCAGCAACAGTCAAAACATCATTGTATTATCAGCACAGTTTTGGTCACAAATCCAAAAGTCCATTTGATTTGTCCAAGCAGGCTCCTAATCACTTAATAAATCCCTTAAAATGTATTTGGTAGAGTGGCAAATTATTAGCTGGCTAGAGATGCAGCAGGTGCCTTTCTAAAGTTACTCCCTGTTTGTATCAACAAGGAAAGGGGAAAATTTGGGGTCCGTGTAAACAATTTTAAAGTGTAATTAGTGCCATAAATGAATGTTTGGTATTTATGTGATATGTACATAGTTCTTATCAGTGAATTAGTCATGATCCTGTCCTACTCTGAAACTATACATCAGTTTGTGTTCTTGTGGTTATTCAGTTCATTAAAATCCAGTTGCATGTTTCTGCAGCCAGGACGAGTAGCTTGCCATGGTTAAGGATATATGCTCATCTTTCTATCTAGATATAGGATGGATTCTTAATTTTTTTTTCAATTTAATGGATAATTTTGAATTTTAAGATTGCTCTCACAATATCCAGAGGCAGATTTTAAAATCAGCTGAGGGGAGGGGGAGTTCAGCTAGAATTTCAACAAAAAATGCAGATTAAAAAAAATCACATTAGAAGGCAAGTCTTTATATAAGATAGAATAAAGGCTATACATTATAAGTAATTGACTAGTTACACTTTTCTATTTTTATAGCCATATATTCTTATTTTCAAACAATAAAAGAGAATCTTTGTGTTCTGAATTTTTTAGATTTGGTGTGACTACATAGTTTGAAAATTGCTGCACGTAGTTTCATCAAAGAACATTGTCGCATCACAACAGGAAATATGGTCGTAACATTAAAAGGCAGATTTGGATTCTGGATGCATTTTAGTTGGTGTCTTTTTTTTTTTTTTTTGGACATAGAATAAGCTGCCTAACCCCCTTCTACCTCCAGTTTGCCCTTTTTCAAAGTGATGATAACAATGACTCACTTCCTCATGGGGGTATTTTGAGGCTTAGTTGAAGTCTGAGAAGTTGTTTCTGACCCTGAGAAAATTGATGTCAGAAACTGCAATATTGGAATACTAATCTTTCAAGGCTTGGATAAATAATTGTCCACAAATGAAATGCTATTTTCTCTGCATTTTTTTTGGCCCCCTCTATAATATTCCTTGAATCGGTAGAGTTCCAACTTAATACAGACAACAGAGGAGACAGTGGACACTGCTTACCTAAATAAACAAGAGCCAGAGCCCAAATTATTAGTAAATACCAAGGCTTCATTTAGGTTGAATAACGCTGCAATCCAACAAATAAATGAGCCATCAAGTTTGAATTTATGTAGCATACGAAACACATTAAAGCCATCTGACCATGACAAAGGCCTTTTCTGCTGTGAATAATGAGGCCAACACATTATAATATCCTTTAGATGAGACATTAAACCCAAGGTCCTTTCTGTTTGTCTCTGGTGGCCGTCCAGGTGGAAGGTAAAGATTCCCTGGCATTTCGCTAAAAACGTAGAAAATCTCCAGCCCCCAACAGTATTACTTTCCCTGTAAAAAAAGATTAGAGTAACCAATGCTATGTACGAGTTGAATATCATCAGGCAAAATGCAAAGTACCTGCCCATTTTCTTACCCATAAGGACAGTGGGGAATCTTCTCTTGCTTTCGTGGGAGCAAGGTCAGCATCTCTGGGACCAATGTCAGTCTTGGAAAGTCTTTTGGGATCCTGAAAATGTAAAACATAAGAAAATAATTAATTCTCATCAGCAGCACATGTTGTGGTAACAAAGAACATGTCCAAATAATATATATTTGCATGTGTCTGTGCTTGCATAACTAGACATGCACATTTGCATCGGTAATTTCTAGGAAGAAATGGTTTGGAGATGAACACAAATTAATTACGCCAGGAAAAATTTCTTACCATAACTTGTACATGTGTGATTCACTCGGGGAAGTTCATTGCAAATTTCAGGTTCTTTTGTATAATCCTAGTGATTTTGTACCACTTGAGATATTTTAACTCGAGCTATTTTAGCTATTACGCTTGATATACCCTTAGTTTGATGTGAGCCTCCGTGAAATTTTATCTAAGTGAAAAGCAGGTTCTTGCTCACTGAGCATGTCTTAGTTGCATAGTTTCACACCAAAGTTTCTTAGCATCAGACTCACAGCGGTATGGCACAAGGTCATGTGAAAGGTAAATCTCAGAGTCCTCTCACAGGTGTAAATCTATTGCCTTACTGTTAACAAGCTGACTGAACTCACTCGTTTGAAATTAAGGGAATGAAAGAAAGGACGAGGGAACAAACCCCTTGAAATGAGCCTAAGAATCACGCTGGAGCTGAACCCCCTTAGTAGCAGAGATGGTAAAGCCTTTCATGAGGAACTGACTGATGAATCTGGGCATCTTTCGATTTTCTGAATAATGAGCCAGCTCTTCCCTCTTGCCGAGAAGCATATGGGATGTGAGGAAATCAGCTGGAAACCCAGCCATGTCTCATTCGGCATCCTCTCTGCTAGAGGCAGGAAACTGGTACCTTATGAGAAAAGATGGCTTGAGGGAAAGCTTGGTGTTCAGTCAAAGCAAATCCAGTCCCTGTGAGACTTGTGCCCCTTGATGTTTGTTCTGCTTTTATCAGTTATCAATGGGAAGGCCACGTAAAGCTGTGACACTTGTCCAACAGTGATTATTGCTGCCTGCGCTAAGGAAACCAGTTCTGCTTCCTTCTTTTAGTGTGCATCTGCTTGAAACTCCTGACCTGGTGGAAATATCCCCCGGGTCATGTCTTCCAGGTCTTTATGTTTGAGAAAAGCACTTTCCAAGAGAGGAGAGTGAGGAAAATATCTATGCCTAACACATCTTAATATTGATTTCATTGACTCGCATTTCATTCATTTTGGCATTAGGGATAGGAAGCTGTAGTAATGAGGACTGAAAACATGTTGGCTTTGATTTTTTGTAACATAGTTAAAGACCACACTACACGTATTTAATGACACTTCAAGATGTAGGTCCTTTGTGGGATCTGACAGATTCAGCCTGTGCTTTGCGGCAGACACTTGGCACCAGGTAACCACAAGCCTTGAAATAGCGTACGTGCTCTTCAAAGTGACCAGTGGGGATTTCTTTTTGTTGGAAACATCTCTTAAATGGACACAGAAAAGAAGTTGTCCCTTCAAATTTAGCTTGCTGTCTTCTAAAATCAAGTTCAATGATCTGAAAATCTGAAAATCCTTCATCCAGTCTGATTTGCTAGCATGGTGTACCTTTCCACAAATTACCTATTTTACTTTGTTCTACACCTTAAGATATATTTAGGCACAAAGCTGTGCCAGGGGAGGGTCAGGCTGGACATTAGAAAATGTTTCTTTACCATGAGGGTGGCCAAACCCTGGAACAAGCTTCCTAGAGAGGAGGCTCATGCCCCGTGCCTGCCAGCGTTCAAGAGGCATTTGGATAATGCCCTAGTTAATACACTTTACCTTCTGGTCAGGCAGTTGATCTCTGTAGGTCCCTTAAAACTGAACTATTCTATTCTATTCTGTGCTGTGCTATATTTTCAAGATAAGATACTGAACCTTTCTTTACAGTTTCTGATTCCTAACCTTCCTATTTGCTTCTTTACCTGCGATCCTAAAACATGGAGGCAGGCTGCGCACAGCACAGTCCCTGATATAGGATTAGATTGTCTGGACTCTGTCCAGCAGAGGGTGGTGACAGACATCTGCCCAAAAAGCAATTAGTTGCAATGTGTTTGGAGAGACAAAATAATCCAGCGGCGACTTACCACCTCCAGGAAAGGGTTGTGTTAGAAATGGTGATGTTCACTGTGGATTTTTTTGTTTGTTTGTTTGTTTCAGGAAAAAGGAAATTTGTAAAATATTTTACAGTCTAACAAAGACAGCAATATATAGAAGTAATTAGTAGGGACATTTGAAGGGAAAACAGGGTCGCACCATTAGCCCCTACTAAAATGCACTGGAGTTGATGAATTATTTTAATGGGACAGAATGACAAAAAAGGGACTCTTTCACCTAAGCAGGGACAGCTGGTCCCTCTGACAAGGATGCATTGCTGTCTTGTTGAGTCTGCCAGCCAGCAAGGCTGAAATAATAGCACTGAGAGAGGTGTGAACATTCCCCGTTCACCTTAATTGAGAGCTAATAGGAAGTCTAATTATGAACACTCAGTATTAACTGTTTCACATCTGAAGACAGCCATCTGATCAGCTCCCCTCCGTCATGCCCAGGGAAGGTCTGCTTTGATTTTCCGGGCAGTTACACGTCCTGGTACTGTGATGTGGGCTGTGTCAAACCACATCCACGCAGCAGCTTTCACCACCGATGGGTTTTGGCCCTATTTCTGTTACCGAGCAAGGGGAGATTTGGACAAAACTGGGACCTGGGGACCAAGCCACACGCTTTTCCAAAGCAGAGTTCCTCTCTCTCTGGAGGCTGCGGAACCAGGTGGCAGCCCTCCAGGACAAGCTGTACCTCTACAAGCATCGCCCCTTGTTGCAAACCGCAGCAGCCCCAGCATCACAAGGATTTGGGTTCATCCTGCTGCCCATGGCTGGCCTCACAGCCCTGCCAGGGAGAGCCAGGGCTGCCGAGGGCTGTGGGAGCGGGGCTGTAGGCACACGCTGTCCCCACCGAACCATCTGCCAGCATTGGAAGCACGACAGGTGGGATTAGAGGATTTGGGCGACTAATTACAGAATTTACTTTCAAAGTGTTTGTGTGAGAGGGGGAGAGAGGAGGATTAACTTAATTGAAGAAATCTCTGGCAGGTATTTGAAAGGTGGTTGTAAAATGATTGTTTAATCTTGCACCTCACCTGCTTCTGAGAACACGAGTGCTCGGATTGAAAAATGCCAACTGGATGGGGACTGGGTGGCTGGGGGACTGAGAATAAGGCTGCGGAGACGATCAAGGCATGTGAAGAATGCAAGGCAGCTAGCATTTGCTGGCTTTTGTGGGCTGCGTTCAGAGTGGAGACAAAATTCTGGTTCTGAAAGAGCTAGGGACCAGATCCTGCTTCCACCTGAAGCTGTGATCCAAGACGGAGCCCAAAGCCCCACACTGCACATCCTCAGTGCCACGTTCAGCAGCTGCCCTGGCCAAAGGTTAGCACTGGCACCGCTGCCATGGGCTGGGCCTGGTGCACAGGGTCCAGGTCCTGACGAGATTTCTCATCAGGAAAAAACAAAAGCAAACCAAAAAACCTATATGGGAGGGGAAAGAAGTCAGGAAAACAAGCTGAGAAAAAACAAAAGAACAAATACAAACTGAAAAGCCATGCCAAAACCAAAGCCCTTGGCCCCTCTGATCAAAACAACTTTGATCAATGCATCTATTCTCAGAAGCACCTTATTTTAGAAAGCAGCTAGCTTTCTAACAAATAAAGAATTGCTCTGTGGTTTCTTTCCAAAGCTCAAATTCAGCTTTCTAGAGTAAGATGAAAAGCTAATTTTCTTGAAGTTTAACATATTTGTGTAAGCATGTCAGGTGAAATAAATGACATTGATATTCAGTGTGTATATAGGTGGCACCAGCTCCCAAAACTCTATCTCTTTTTCATCTTACTGGAACATTAACTTATGCTCCTGAGGGCTATGCAGCATGCAGAGCGAGAGTGCAAACTTAAAGATAATTTATCATAGCTCTCTCCTGTGTATCACTCTCGTTCTCTAAACTTTTCCATATCAGAATAAAGAATAGAGGGAATTTACTTTTGCCTTAGCCGCCTCACACTGTACCTGCACAGGGTCTTATTCAAAACAAACGTTTGCATCCTTCACATTGACTTCTCAGCTGTGGTCTTGCATGTTCTCTTGATAAGTGGATGAGCAGGCATTGTAAGAACAGTGTCACAGGAAGCTTAACAACTGGTCTCTGGAAAAACTACAGCAACAGTAAAATATATGGAGAGCTGCAGTAAAGGCAGGGGAGTGGGAAAGAAGAAAGGAATTTATTGGGAAAGGCTGGTGGGAGCTGGTGGCAGAGACCAAGGAGCACCACGAGCACCACACTGCTCCTTGCACCAAATGACCATCAGCAACAGCTCTGGAAGGGCTTGGAACAGCTTTTTGTAAAGCATTTATATACTGAGCAGTGGGACAGAGGTGTTCTTCTACCACAGGTGTTATCTGAGTAAGCACAACAATTAATAAGAGAATAGAAATCTAATTTTAATAACAATGTGGAGCATGTAGCGCTGGCACCCAGTTTCCCTTTTTCACGTTGATATTGATGGATTACTCTGCATGAATTACTTAAGCTTATAATTTATCTTTCGAACACAGTTCAGTTTTGCAATTCGCACTTTGCAGAATGGGAAACTGAGCCACACAAAGGCTACATGGCTTTTTTCTTCCCAGACCATAGCTAAAAACTGTGCTATGTTACCTAAGCAGAGTAAAAATCTTTTTTTTTTTTTTTTTTTTTTTTTCAGCTAAATGAAAAATCTGGGAGAACAATTCCAGAAATTGTAAGTCCATGGCCTAAGGACGGCACGGATTTGTTACTTTGCACTGGAAACAAATGTGTATTTGTTTTGAATTATTGCTGTCATTGGCCAGAATTGCTTTGTTTGTGAAGACAGCTACAAAATGGGTAATTTAAAGTGCATTGCCAGAAACCTATTGCAGTAAGAAATACTGAGTTGTAACTTGATAGGGGGGTGTTTAAATATTTATCAGAGGAACATGATAACAGGCACTCTCCTCCAAGACCTCTTTCCTCTTTTTTCCTCTTTCATATTTAAACTCTGAATAGGAGGCATAATGTTAGGAAAAGTCGTCACAAAACCAGGAAAACAGCTGCCAACTATTAACTACTTTTCTAATCTGCCTAAAGAGCATCCACTGACTGCCCTTGATGTATAGTTTGTTTCTTGTTTAGCTGTGTTGGGGAAGAGAAGATGTGCCTATCTTCTTCCAGATACTGCAGCGAGTGAAGCCAGTGCACATTCCTAACATATCCACTGCAAAGATGTGTAAACAAATACATCTGCTTTGGTCCTCTAGCACAGTCCTGATGTGTTGTACTGCAAGGAAAAGGCCATCACTGAGCAGTGTAAAACCTGCTTTTTGTAGTGGCAGTTCACATTGCACAAGTTTATGACAATAATTATCCACAAATACTGGCACATTTATGCATGTGCAGCAGGCTTATGAGGCAGGAGCGTGGAGAAGAGAAGGGTAATGAAAAGATCCAGCAGGGATGATAGTTTTCATTGTCTTTTCATCTGTCATAAACAAATGGCATTTTTTTATATTCAAGGACCTTGGTGGTCTAGACCCTACATCCTGAACTAATCACTTCAGTTTGCTTTAACCATAGGTACATAAAAGGTGGTGATTTCCATGGTAAAACTGGCATAGACAAGCAAAGGGAACAGACTATGTCCTCACTCAGTCCTTTAAGTGGCTTTGTCACCCTTTCTGTCTGGTTTATTAAGAATAACGGTGTTGACCAAACCAAGAAAGAACCAGGTGTTTAGCATCTCTCTCTGCAGAGCACAGGGGTTGCAAGGAAGGCAACAGCCTCTCACCACCACAGCTGCTCTGAGCCAGCGGGTGAGGCCAGGTGCCTCACCAAGAACCCATGGGAGTCAATATTATCTAATTATTTATCATTTAGATAGGAATTATTACAGGAATGTTCATGCATGCATTTGTTTTGCTTTCCTCCCTGTATTTCGTATAACATCAGCAGTGTGTTAACAAGGATCAGGCTGGGGCTTTTGTAGTTGCTCTTTGAGGAGCGGTGTTCTTAATGTCAGGATGATTTGCCAGAATAATAACCAGCAACCTTAGGAAGTAAAACCCAGGTCTTGGGATCTGAACGTACTCATCAGTATGCTCTTTTGTGCTAACGCTGACAAGAGAGCTATATATCTATGTATATAGAGCTGGCTTCGAGAACTCTCTTGGGACGAGTTAGGTTCATATCATCTACTGCTTAAAGTAAAAGTGGCAAATATATTACCACAATGTAAAAGGCAGCATTGCAGGTGATGTATGTGTACACCTTTAAAGCATCCCTGCTGTAGATGCTGCTCTTACAGGCATTTGACCTCCGAAGTGACAACAACCCATGGCACCTGAAGTCTGACTCGGGCTCCCTAAGTGCAGGCAGCAGTTCAAACCCCCCCCGGGACTGCTCAGATGAAGATGGAGCATCGGCTGCTGCGGCCTGCCAGCTCAGACATGGTGTTCCTACACAAAGGGAGAGGTCCAGTGCAGCCTTTTCTCCCTTGGATGCCAAGCAGGTTTGTCTCGGAGGCTGCCGACCACTGTGGCCACCACCCTGAAATTGAGAGCGTTTTACTCAAGCCTGTGCACAGCATGAAATCTGGCAGGTGTCAGCTAAGTGGCTTCCTCTCTGGAGCTACATGGAGATGTGTAAACAGACAGCGGTAAATTTAACAGTGAGCTGACCGCAGAGACAATCGCTCATTCCCTCTTGCGTCCAAGTGCTCTGATCCTCCAGTCCTGAACAGTTTTTCTGTGGTAACTGAAAGATTATCACCCCTCTGACCATCTGAGGAAAACACTGAGGTTTAATTCACTGTCAGCTGAGATGAAGCCTATAGAAGCCAGCACAGAAAGTCCTGATGTGATGTCCTTGTCACGTCAAAAGATCTTGAAATAACAAAAGCAGTCAATCAGCGCAGAAGTTCGCAGGCTCAGCATTGCTTTAACATATGGCAAGATGGAGCACACATCTGAGGGAGGGAAGGGTTGTACCTGGTATTTTCCCCAGCCCACAGAGCGCAGCTGTGCCCATTTACTGCCTTTGGTTCACTAACACCTGGGGAGAGGACAGAAGCACAACTGCCATGTGCCTCAGGAAGAGGACAGCAAGGTAGTTCCTCCAGAGCAACACGACATTTGGGCCTTGGCAATGTTCTTGGGTTTTCATCCTCTCAGAAACTTGCCTCTGTGCCTCCCTTTTCCTTCTGCAGGACTTCCACCCTCAGGTCAGCCTGGATACTGCAGCTGCGGGGTGTCCTGTGCTCCGTGGCAGAACCAGCCGGAGCAGCAGGTAGGTCCTACATCTCCAGCAGAAGGTAGGGAGAGCTGTGCCTTACTTTGGGAAGGTTCCCCCGAGTTAGGGACAATGGTAGGAGGGCCCATATCTGAGCCACAGCCATTTCAGTTTTGAGAGAAGTGCAGCTACCAGCTCTGTATGCCTCCAAGCAGGATCATTCTCCCATGGGCATGAACATGAAATGCATTTTGAGATCCATGCTACTCACTCAGCCTTCAGAGAGGCTTACCTATTAATGTGAACAGGGTAGGAGGGGCTCTCTTTGCTGACCTACTCTGTATAAAATAAAATATAGGTGCTAAAGTGAGATGGCTGACTTTGCTATAAAGGTCCAAGTTTCTCTTCTCCCTTGTCTGATAAATGAGTGTCATCAGAGTTACTGTGCTCTCCCGAAGCAATTAGTCATTATTGGTCGATCAAAAGTATTTATCAAAACTTCAGGTGCGGTGCCATTGATCTTCATTTGGGTTGGAAGGGTTTTCTTGCTGGATTTTGGAGAAGGAATCCGTCAGTGGCACGGCCATCAAACAGAAGGCAGCAGGAATATCCTTGTCAAAGAGATGTATGACTATGCAGACACTCAGGAAGGTGCCAAAAAATGCAGCTCAGAAGCAGAGGTGGCTACTATCACCTGTCAAAGCTGATGGGGTTTTGAGCAGGAGAGGGAAGGAACAGTTAACCAACACATCTACATCAAGAACACCGTAGCCTACCTTAAAATGTGCACAGAGGAATTTTAATTAAAGGATTTGTACAGCTGTGGAATCCTGAAATCCTCTAAGTAATGTGCAAAGGCCTGAGACCTCCCTGGGAACGGCTCTTCAGTATTCGCAACCTTGAAAACCTACCGAGGAGTTATTCCAGCATGATGTATTTGATTCCCAGATACACGACCTGGATCAAAGTATTCTAAAGCATCATTGCAGAAGTTAAGGTATTGCATTCTTGAGCAGGAGATGTGGCTGAGAAGACACCCTGATGGCAGGTCTTGACCTTGTAAAATGCCTTTAGCGCCAGATAGAGGTTACCAGGTTTCAGAATACTTAAACTTACCTTCGAGGTTTTCTTGTGATCTAGATGGCTTGTGTCTGAACGTAGTGCAGAAACTGCCTTCATGTGTTAATCACTGCTTCCATATGTGAAATAGGTTAGTTTACTCAGGAGAGGCAGCCTTACTCCTTGAGACACCAGTTTTCTCTTGCTACTCAATAATTTAAATAAAATAAATTCATAGCTGAACTGGAAACGCAGAAGTATCACTGGGAATTGCATTTACAACTGCTGTCCTTCCTGGGGCAAGTACCACAGCAACAAAGCATCATACACCAACTTGTTTTGACCACGAAAAGAGCAGGCAAGTTTTTTTAATGAGTGTGTCTTTCCTCTCCTTTCCCACCCTTTTCTCCCCCTGCCCTTTTTTTTTTAAAGCTTAAAGGGGCCAATTTTTGACTTTTTTTTTTTTTCTTTTTTTTTTTTTTTAATAGAAACAGATATAACTTCAAACTAATCTACTGAGTACAGTTGGGTTACTCTGGATTAACAGTGGTATAAATAACAGCAGAACTTGGCACGCTGTCTCCAAATTAATAAGCCTAAATGTTTTTCAACTAATGGAACGGCTTGAATATGATCAAACAAATTTTGCTTTTAGTCTGTGGAAGAAAAATGTGTTTGCTTGACCTGTAAAGCAAGTTATGCCAAATTTGATCATGAAACAATATTTATGAATAATTTTTAATGCACTGCAAACAACTGAAGTGGGAAATGCTGATATACTAGTGTAACTATGACTGTGGAAATGGAACTAATGTAATAACTAAAACGAATGGGCATAATGAAAGAAAAACCCCATGCCAGTTGGTAATTCCTTAAAATCGTGTGATTTTGAGCCTAACGGGGGTGGGTGGGGGGCTGCCAGAAGCTGCAGCATGTGGCAGGGCTCTTTGCTGACATTTGCAGAGCATTGTGTTGTGCCAGCACTGTTGCAAGAACTGTCTGAGAGCAAGCACATTGCAAAGTAACGAAGTTTGGAGCACGGTAAAGAAGAATTACACATGTGTGCCCATGTCCAGCACATTTCTATTGAACTTGGTGTAACAGCTGACATAAAAAATAGGGTCGGAACACTTTCCTAGTGACATACGTCCCATTCGTTCTGCTTGAAAATGAAGAAAAAAATCAGCTAAGGGCATGCGTTCTTCGCAGAGAGCATATATGATGGAGTGCTGACTCTGTATCTCTTAGAATGGTAGCAATTGTACAGCAAAGTAAAAATTGATAAATGCAGAGAGAAATGACTTCCACTGAGAGTGGTGTTTTGTTCTGTTTTTTAAGCATCCTTTTAATGTTGTTAATAGATCTTCTTAAAAATAAATTATTTAAGGAGGCTTATCTTGAAAACACTACCAGAATTATGACTAGAAAACATATGAATCGTTGCCGTTCCATAGCACGATTAATTTCCATTGCTGTGTTTGTGACCTACTTACATAGACCACAAACACTAATCTCAGTGGGTAATTAAAAGAGTGTAAATATCATTTGTCCAGTCCCCAATGATTTGTTTTAGAAATCCAAGGAGCTCTCTACAGTAAACTTGCAGATAAGAAATCCTCGGTTACGTATAGACTTTAATTATCCTACACCACTAATGATTCTTAATACTTGGTTTCATATTTTTCACTGAGAATAGTAGAAACTGTATTTAACATGCAATTAAATATTTTCACCTACAAATTTATTTCCCTGACTGTAGCATTCTGATGCAACAAAATGTGGATATGTTGTAGAAAACAGGCAGCTATATTTGTCTTTTACTTAGTATTGGATAAAATATGGGTAATTTTTTTTGTTGATGTGAGTGAGGTTTTCTTTTAAATTTACTCCTGGCCTTCTAAATTCAGGCATATATTTCAGTCACGGACCAAAAAAATGAGTTTCACAATCAAGAAAATATTTGGCTAAATGTCATCCCATTTCAGTGATAAAATAAAATTAGCAATTAGAAATAATATATATTATTCATATGAATAATGAATTGTATTTGGAGTCATAAAAATGGGAAGTGGTGATATAGATAGTAATACAAATAGAATGAATGTGACAAGCACAGAAAAAATGATAATAGAAACAAAAGACAAGGAAAAAATCCATGACAGTAGACAATAATTTTATAAAGTATAGTAAGAATGACCGAAATCCCAGCAACGCTCTAAGTTTGTAAGTAGACAAAATTTTTAATAATGATGAGGAAAGAGAAGGCATTATTTTTTGGGGGGAGGGGAGTTCTATTAGAAAGAAACTAGATGCCATACTTGTATAGCATGAAACACTTTTAAATCTACTAGTAAACTCTGAGTAAGTATAACCATGCTTACTTTTCTCCTTAGAAATCTCTTTGAGGTATTCCAAAGACAGACCTTGAGTTCTGCTGCTTTGTTTTTTAAATTATTTAGATAGAAAATTATTCAATATTCATTAACTATTTTATAAATAGTTCTGTGCATCAAATCTCCATGGTAGTAATGCTAAAATTATGGGGAAAACAGTATGTTTCAAGAAATATAAAGTTAACAGTGAAACATGCAAAGGCCTTCAATGTGAGAACTCAAAAAGGGTGTTAAGACAGTCTTTACTCATAGGTTAAATTATGAGTGTTTGGAAACAAACCTAGACAGCTAGGTCGAGGGGCTGCATGTGAGGTAGGTGTGTACACAAGCCGTCAGACCCATTCATGGAACCCTGTATTTGAAAGCCTTCTGCTCCTAAATCATGTAATTATTATAATATGAACTAATTTTTAGGCTCATCAAGGGGGCTGAAGAGTACATAAGCATTGGAGACTGTACAAGCTATCCCCAAGGGATACATCCGTCTCAGACACAGGTGAGGTCATACAGTCATAGCTATATCTGTGGGAAGCTTTTCTTTTAAATAAACACAAGATTTCATTCAAAAGTGGTATTAAATTAGTTTCAATTAGAAGTATTAGATTATTTTTTTATCTGATGTTTGTAGTTATTCTCATATATGCAAAACAGTTTATTTGCATAACATGACACACATGAAGCTACAGAAAACCCAGTGACCTGACATTCGTCTTTCCCTGATCCACTTTGTCTTCTTTAATATTTCTTTTGTCTCTTTTTTCCCTTTTTCTTTTCCTCCTTGATAGAAAAATTGTTCTTCCTTATCATTCTTTCATTATGCTTTCTTTTCTATTTCCCCATTTTCATTCCCAGGTTTTCTTATTCCTTTTTCTGATTTACTCCTACTTACTTGTTTCTTCATTTTTCCAAACTCCATCCTCTTCCATGAGGTAAAGATGGAAGCAGCAGTCATTTTAGGCTTGTGAATGGCCTACCTACAGGTTGACGTTTGCTTTGATAGGAGTGGCTGAGATTCCTGCTCTGTACAATCCCACAGAGAGTGTTTCTCCTGCAGTGGCTGTACACCAGTCCCCAGATGCAGGATGCGCTCTGCAGTTACCTGGTAAGTAAGCTGTGCTCCAGCGAGATGTCAGGGCCCTGTGGCCCAGCCCTGTCTCAATGGCAACATCACACCTTCTCCTCACAGTCTCCAGCATTTTCACTGTCTCCCTACTCTGTTTTGCCTGTCACGATAATTGTTGAGCAATCTCCCCGTCCTTATCTCAACCCTCAAGCCCTTTGCATCCTCTTTTCTCCCTGTTCCTCTTGGAGGAGGGGGAGTGAGAGAGCGGTTGTGGTGGAGCTCAGCTGCCCACCCGAGTAAAACCATCCCAGAAGCGCATGTTGAGAACTGCTTTGGAGAGCAGTTTTCCAAAGATGCCCAAGATGAGTTCCTGGAAGGTGCAAAGGGTGCAAAGGGCGCTTTAGTGAAACCTGGGGGAAAAAGGTAAGATCCAGGTAGTAGTATACGTAGACATAAGGTTCAGGTAGTACTAGTAGTATACGTTCTCTGCGCTTCTCACGAAATGGACACGTTGGGAACAGGAGTGGCAAGTAGTTTCTTTTTCAGGGAATAAACAAATTTGGAGGGGCGACATTTGCTTTCTCCCGTTTGCCAGCAGCCTCTCCTGATCACGGTGACGTTTGCTGGATAACCCTGGGAGGCCTCACGGTTAGGTCCACCAGCTCCTGCAGAACCCATTTGTGCATCCTGCCAGGCTTTTCCCCACAGGCCCCAACGTGCCCCCCTGGCCCTACGAAAAAGACCCTTTGTCCGCAGAGGGGAGGCCACGTTGAGTTGGATTTCCCCAAGGACACAGCGAGCGGTGAGACCACGTACATGTACAGAGTTTTATTGTCCACAGGGTGCCACAGCCACAGAGGGCCTTGTCTGCCTTCTCCACGCTCGGGTGTCCTGAGTGCTGCTCGGGCCCTGGAAAGCTGCAACAAGACAGACAGAGCTGTGAGCAGCCAGCCCAGGCAGCTGTGCCCCCTGCCACCCTGGAGCTGCTCTCCAGATTCTCCAGATCACTCCTTGATGGTTGCTCAAGCTTTTGAAGGAACTCGGAGGCAGGTTGCAAGGAAAAGCCCTGCGTCCCTGTCTACCCCATCTTCAGCCATGGGACACAGCACGGTGTCTGCCCTGTTCTGCAAAGGCAGGGCCCGGAGGAAAGACGAAAGAGAAAGCAGAGGCCCCTACAGCTCTCTGGTCAGGAAAGGGAGCGGGAAGTTCCAGTACGGGCTCTCACCAGGGATTTCGAAGGTCGATGGGTGCAGCCTCTGCCCGTTCTCTAGGAAGCCTCTCCTGGCTATGGTACGGAGCCTCTCCAACTTTGGGGGGGCGTATCTGGCCTAGGGCAAGACAGGAAGGCACAAGTTCACGGGGGTCCAAAAAGATGCCTTCTGTTGCCCCTCAGCCAGCTGGGACAGGGGGAAGGGGAGAGGCAGTGGGTGGCCAGGAGGGATGGCCATGGCCCAGTCCCGGCCAGCCCCACATGCAGCACCGCGCACTCCCCTGAGGGAGCCCGGGCAGGGCCCTGACGTCTCGCTGGAGCACAGCTTACTTACCAGGTGAGTGCAGAGCGCATCCTGCAGCTCTTGTGCACCCAGCCTCTTGCAGAGAGAGATGATCTCCCGTGGCCGCCTCAGCCCCATAAATGGAACACAGAGCCTGAAGGTGATCTTGCACATCTGAAGAAGAGAGTTGTGCCGTCATTCCTCCTCCAGCAGCGTGTGTGGGACCTGCCCAGGGAGCTCAGCCAGCCATGCCTCGGCCGTGGCCACGCAGCTTTCTGGGGCTTTGGGAGCAAGCTCCAAGGGCACTTACGCTGGCAACTGCAAAGTCGGGATCCCGGAGGTGCAGGAAAAGGCTGACCCATGTTTCCGCCACTTCTCCGGCAAAGAACGACCGCTTGCTCGAGGCTGAGGAGGCCAGGACTGAATAGAGGCGCAAGGCCGAGTAGCGAAGGTACTCTTCTTCCTGCAAGCAGAAAGCCGTTTGTCAGCTGGGTAACGAGGCCGAAGCAGGCACTCAGCCAGCAGAGGCCATCCAGGCGGCGCGTGCAGGCCCCTGCCCATCCCACGCTTCTCAGAGCAGCGGCAGCAAGAGCTGGCTTCACTCACAGACTCGAAGAACATCTTGGTGGCCCTGGCGATGTCTTCAAAGGCCGATCCCAAGTTCACTGCCTGCAGCACCCTCACGAGCTCAGCTAGCGCCAGCATGCTTTCTGCAACCACCTCGGGACAGGCAGTGTCCGCCAGGCTCTGTTGCAGCACCTGGACAACTTGTCTCCCGTGCTTCCGCACCTGCAAAGCCAAAGACGTGCACAGACTTTTTTACTCTGACGTTTGGCACCCAATTTGCCCTCGGCAGCCCTGCTGGCATCAGGGAAAGGAGCCCTGCTTTTGCCTTTGCCGCTCTGTCCAGGCCCTTGAAGCAGCTCTCCCCCAGGGTCTTGCTAGGGAGGGGAATATCCCTGCAGTCAGAGTGCAGGGAAATCCGTCTCACCTCCACGGGCATGCTGCCGGCTGCGTTGCCCAGAGCTCTCGCTGCCAGCTGCCTTATGGTGCTGCTTCGGTGCTGTGCTTTCTCAGCCAAGACACGCAGAATCTTCAGGACGTTCCTCTTCTCAAGAGGCGGCTCCTTCATCAGCTGCAACAGAGCAACACAGCCACGAGAGTCAGGACACAACCTCAGCCCAGGCACAGCACACAAGCAGGCTTCGCACAAAGGAGTCTCGATGGGGACGCTTGCTTCTCATCTCTCCCCACAGCAAGAGGCAGCCCAAGCAGCAATGTCTTTCAGAAAAGCCCTGGGGAGCCCCCCTGCCCTCCTACTGCCTCACCTCAGCAAAGAAAGCCATGGCCGTCAGCTGCAGGTTTGCTGATGGGTAGCTGCAGCCACTGGGAGAAGATCTCAATCAGCTCCTGGGAGATGAGCTGGGCACGGAGCAGGACACTGCACAAAGAGCACAAGGGGCAACGCCCGGTCAAGTGGGAAGGCTGCAGGCTGCCACCGCGGACTTCCCCTCCTCCAGCACAGGCACTGCTCTGCCCTGCACAGAGCTCCCCGAGCACGCAGGAACGGGCCCCGGCAGCCGTTCCCCTGGGCGCAGCCACCGAGAGGAAGGCGAGATGCTGCCCTGGGGCTCTCACCTCGTCAGGAGGCACATGCCCTCGGCATAAGTGCGGGGGCTCTCCAGCAGCGCCGACATTTTCTGCCTCCAGAACGGCCTCAGCCAGCTCTTCTCAGTGCATTTGCTCAGCACTGCCGTGAGAGTTTTGCAGAAAGGCCTGGGAAAGAGCAAGAGCCAGAGAAGTCTCAGATCAGAGCAGTGTTCCGCAGGGATCTTACAGAACTTACAGGGACTTAGCAGAGCAAGAATGCTCAGCAGCTTTACGAGCCGCTTCTTCACTCATCCCAAGCTCCAGCGACTGGAGAGAGAGGCAAAGAAGTGCAGAGGCAACGCTCTGTAGCCACCAGGTCTGTGGCAAAAGCCGGCCAAAAAAGCAACTGTCTATTTAAGCCCTGGCAAGGTGCCCTGTTGTGTTGTGTTGTGTTGTGGGGGGACTGATGTGAGCACTCAAACCTCCCCAGGGAGGCAGCACCGCCTGAGTGCAATGCTTGGTGCACCCTGACAGGCCGGGAATTACACCGGCAGAGCCTCCACGGCAGGAAAGCACAGCTGCCCGTGGCCAGAGCTGGGCCACAAACCCTGCGAGGATGTGGCAGCTGTGCTTGTGCTCCCTGGGAGTCACCGCCCAGGAAGACCCTCAGCACACAGACATCTCTACCACAGTGAAAACCAACTTTGCACAAGCCATCGTGCAAGAATGACAGAGAGAAAAACAGAGAAAAGAAAGCCCCAAACAAACAGGGATGGGAGGAAAAAAGCAAATCTGCAGCCTCAAGTGGCCTCCCGCCTAGGAAGCAGGACAGGAAACAACCAAGCATGCTTGGCTAGGCAATTCAAGACCCCTTGCCCTGCCCCTCCTGCTCCTGACCTGCACACGTTGCCCTCTTGCCGCTGATCCTCAGCGTGCCCTCTCCAGGGGCTGAGGGGCGCAGACAGCATCTCTTCCCCCAGTGCCTTGCTGAGCTGCAGCAGGAGCCCAGGGAGGAGGGAGGGAAGCAAGCACTGGACCCCCTCCTTGTACTGCACGGACACCATTACGGAGATGGCACGGGTGACCTGCAGGGAAATGAGAGCACCCGACAAGCACCTGTTAAACAAGAGCTTTGCCACCAGCCCCGGCCCGCTGGCTGCCTGGGGCACTTCTACTGCCTGCACGCCCCGTCTCCGGGACAGCCTTGCAGCCTGGGAGCAGCGGCTGTCCCGGCCAGTCCCGAACTGCTACTGCTGAGACACTGCAGCAGAGACGCTTGCAAAGGGCACCCAACGCCTTGCCCTCGGACTGGGAGTGGGGGAGCAGGCACAAAGCCTCTGCCACCGAACGTACAGTCAAGGACTCCGGAGAAGGCTGGTGGGCGTGCAGCCTGCGAGTGGGCGAGCTGGGCTGGGAGCTGTCGTCTCCCACTCTGTTCAGCTTCCTCGCTAAGTGCTTCAGCACACCGAGGCCAATGCTGGCTCTCCCCAGAGTCCTCCACAGCTCCAGTGTGTTTCTGCCAAGAGATGTGCAACCATGAGCCTGTATGCTCTGTTACCAGTGCTACAAGCACACCTCCGACATTTGGCTGGAGGAGAAGGAGCTGCTGCTCCCCTTGGATCGCCCTAGGGGAGGGGAGGCAAGCTACGGCTCTCTGAGCCCAGCAGGAAAGGGAGGAGCGCATGTACCTGTCCAGAGGCACAAACTTCTCAAGGATGACGTTTATCGTGAGCTCCCGGTGATGGCGGGCCAGGATCAGCACCGCTTGCTGCACAAAGTACACGAACGAGGGCTCCAGCATGGACTCTGTGCAGGTGTGCAGGGCGGAGACGATTCCTCGCACCTGAAAGAAGCAGGGGAGAAAGAACGTCTTGGCACGGGAACATGGACGTTCAGCCCATGAGCCACGCCTGCTCCCTTGCCACGCTTTCACGCTCGAAGGCGAAATTTCACCCCTAGCACCCTGCCCGAGCCCTGACTCTGCCCCGAGAGCTTCTTTAGCACACAACCGGCAAGATGTGTGGTGCGACAGCCAAAGCGAGAAAGTCCAAGGCATGGAAAAAGGTCTCTTACGTCTGGACCAATGTCCTTTCCCCAGGTTTCCAGAAAGGTGAGCATCCAGTGGCCTGCAGCACACACGCGGCTTCCTCTGGCACGCCGGAAGGGCTCCTGGATGGCATTCATGAAGTCTGCAGCCTGTTTTTTGGGGACGTTTTTGCAAACGACCTGGAAAGATGCAGGAACCAGGAGAGATCGAGATCCCGTCACGGCTCCGCTCCAGCTCTTCAGAACATAAGGCAAGCTTGAGGGCACTCCTTACCTCTGCGATTTGGATGGAGGTCTGGAGCTGCTGAGAGGTGTTGCTGCGAGCACTCAGCCCCTCACACAAGCTCGCAGGGTCGTCTGTCTCCAACAGCCTGTTCGTGGCCTTGGCTGGAACGAGCACGGGGAGAAAAGGGAAGTCCCACTTAGGGCAACTGAACTTCCCTTCCCAGCCTTTGCTGAAGGCCAGGGGAGTCAGTCTTGAACTCGCTGCAGCGGGATGGCCCTTGCCAGGTTCTGAGTGCCCCCGGCTGCAGGAAACGCTGCTGGCAGGTGGCACTGGGTGGCCCTCTGCCAGGATCCCTCCCCAGCTGGCTGGGGAGGTGGAGGACGAACAGGCTGGGGACAGGACAGCAGCCGAGCACCGTGCCTCTCCTTTCCCTCCTGGCGGCAGGGCCCAGCCCCCGCGGGGGATCCCGCTAGGGCCAGGCGGGGCAGAGGGCCGGCAGGCGCCTGCTCTACTCACACTCACCTTGGATGTGGAGAAGGGAGCTGAGGCAGGCAGCGGCCAGCTGGCGGGAGCTGCTCATGGGCTCACAGGTCAGAGGCCCCAGCAATCCCGCCAAGGCGCCAAACGGCAGGTAGGCACCTCTTGTCTGCAGGGGCGAGAGGAAGAACAAGGGCTGGAGGTGGCCCCAGCACTCCCTTGCTTCTCCCAGCCGCGCCCTGCTCAGGCCAGGACTGGGCACAGGGGCCACCCCAGAGCGCTTCGCTGGGGGACCCCACAGCCCGTGCACAGCTGGGCAGAGCTGCCCTGCCAGGCCCCCTTGCAGCTGGGGGCACACGCTGGGCATCCTTCCTCACCTGAAAAGCCACTCCATCTCTGCAGTCCTCCAGCAGCTGGGCGCAGACCTGCAGGGCCCTCTTGCACACCCACGGCTTGTCCGAGGAGAGCCAGAACCACAGCACCTGGGGCAGAGCAGCTCTGTCTGCCAAGGGGCATCTTTCCCTTCCCGCCATCCCTCTCCATTTCCCTCCCCTCCCTTCCTGGCACTTGCCCTGAGGGCCTGCCCTGCGGCACTGCCCCACTCTCTTCAGATGCACCTGCTCCCACCCAGGAGCTTTTCCCTGCAGCCAGCTCCCTGCTGCAGCCAGCCAGGGGCTGCCTCTTGGCTTTCCCCCCTGCAGGGCCCACTTCTTGGCCTCCAGCACCCCATGGATACTCACCCCGGCGATGTCTACAAAGTCCACAGGGCTTGGCTTTGTCTTCAGCAGGACTGCCATGAGCCGGCCCAGAGCCTTCGTGGCCATGTGCAGGGACTGAAAGCGGAGGAGAGGGACGGAGATGCAGGATCACGGCTGCTGCCAGCACACAGCTTGTGCTGGGAAGGGACAGCAAGTTACCTGGAGCTGCAGCACTGCCTGCTCTGCGTTCCTGATCTTCCCAATCTGCTCAGCCGCTGAGGGAAGTGGCAGGATGGCCTGGCAGCAGTCAGACAGCAGGCTGAAAATTTCCTCGCTGCTGAACGAGGTCTCCAGCTTGCTGGCAAGGGGAAAAAACAAGACGAGGGAAAAAAAATATAAGAGGAGTTCCTAGCGCTCTGCAGAGAGGGTCACATGGCATCTGGGCTTGTCCTCATCAACAGCCCCAAATCCAGCCAGCCTAGGCTGTGTCAGGGAATGCTGCTCTTTGGGAGCTCCCCGACAGGAGGAACATCATCCCGCCTCACAGCCCCCGCAGCTCCTCGCTCTTACCTCCACTGCTCCAGGGCCAGAATCACCTTCAGGTGCAGGGACGCTGCCGGGAAGTCCCAGAGAGTCGTCTTCATCAAGTTCTGCAAGAGAAAGTTGCCAAGTGGGCATTGGGCACAGGAGAGCTCTCGCACCCTGCCCGGGGACGGGCACTCCTGCCAGACACTGGCTGCAGCACTCAGGAGCTCCCACAGGGGCGCTGCAGGATGGAGCAGCTCCCCAGCGGCTGCCCAGCCATGGCCACTGCCTGCCAGCACCCAAGGGCCCCCCCACCAGCTGGGGACACGGCTCCAGGAGCTCAGGAGCTCCCACGCGGCTGAGGGAGACCTTCCTGCCTCCTGGCATGGCCCCAAACTCCCCTGCAAGACAGCCCTGGCTCTGGGCACTCACCTGCAGGATCAGCAGCAGCTTTTGCTTCAGGACAGGATGGAAGCTGCCCAAGTTCCCCACAGCTTGGACGGCACAGCCGACCTCAAGGATGCTCTGCGCCACGGCAAGATTGGTCTGCAAGTTCTGGGGCCCAAGAGAGAAGAAGAAAACCCTTGGAACTGGAGGAAGGGCCACGGGCTGCGAGAGGAACATGTGCACGCGGGGGAAATCTAGGGGAAGGGCTTGGATCTTCCTGCTGGGACAAACCATTCCTCGGGGGACCTTTGGAAAGAGACGGCCCCTCTCAGGATGCCCTAGCACGGAGGGCTTGGAGCTGGGACTGCACCCAGCAGCCCTGCCCCTACACGCCCCGAGCTCTCACCTGGCTGCTGGAGATGGAGAGCAGCAGGATGTTGCCCGCGATGTCTGCCTCCACATGGGCGAGCAGTTGTTCCTTGGAGGCACGCAGTGCCATGCTGCTGTGGGCGAGCATGACAGCACTGCAAGTGGCCTCAGCTCTCCTGCTGGCCTGGGGCGTCTGCGTTGCAAGAGATGCTGTGAGACGTCCGCCCCATGGCCCCCCACAGCCCACAATGAAAAGCAGGTGGAAGACAGCCAGGGAGGGAAACCCCAAACACCTCACCTTCCTGCGTCTGGAAACCCTCAAGCCCCGGCCACTGCACAAGGTGGCAGCAAATGTTGTTAAAGTCTCCAAGACCAGGCCGAAGTGGCTGTCGGCGGCTTGGCAGACGAGAGAAATGATTCCCTGCAACAAGAGACCGAGGGACAGTCGGCATGGGCCCAGCCGTTCAGTCATGGCCAGCCACAGTGGCGGGCAGCGATGAGGAGCTGGAAAAGGCCTGGAGCAGGGCCCAGGGACAGAGCAGGGAAGCTCACCTGGGCCTCAGATGGCTCCTCAGGTTGTGCTCTCATCAGATGGTGCAGCAGGTTCTCTTGGACGTGTGGGAGTTCCTGACAAGCTGCCAGCGTCGTCCCAAGAGCCTTGTATAGGAAAGCCTGCAAGGGAACAAGCCGAGCCCGAGATGCAGCAACAGCCTGGCGTGCTGCAACGGGGCCAGCGCACGGGGAGCAGCAGAGCCCGGACGCAGGGATGGGCTTTCGCCAGCCCCGCTCAGCACGAGAGGAGGGAAAGGCCGCGGGGGGCAAGGGCCGGGGAAGCAGCGCAGACAGCCCTCGTGGGCAAGCACCGCCTGCAGCCCCAGCCCCAGCCCCGCACGTGGGCGGGGGCCCCGTGGCTGCGCTGCCAGGGGAGAGCCGGGCAGGGAACCGACCTTCTCCCCAGAGCTGCTGGGAGAGCTGTCCAGCCGCTGGCTCAGCACACAGCTCAGGCGCTTGATCCAGGCGTCGTCCCCGATGGTTTCCAGGGATGCCCTCAGGAACTGCAGGAGAGAACAGGAGAGGAAGCGAATGCTTCTTGGCCTTTGACAAGCAGGAAGAGGCAGTGCCAAGGCACACGGCCACTCCAGAGTGGCCTTCCACGAGAGCTGTGGCCCGTGGGAGAAGGGAGAGAGAGATGCAGGAGGAGGAGGAGGAGTGGGGTGCCTGGGAAACACCCCTGCCACCTCTCTATGCTACGCCTCCCAGGGCTGCAGTACCTGAAGCAGACGGCGCTCCCACTCGGCAGCGTCTGGGATGTTCCCCTTTCCTCCTAGCAAGAAGACAAAAACCTTGCTTGGGACCAAGCCACAACAGAAGAGCTGCTGCAAAGCTGGCCTGGCCCACGGAAGCTGGTGGCTGCACCCGCTCCAGAGGCAGCCGTCCGTCCCTCCCCACAAGCACCGCCCCAGCAGGGCCATGGAGGTGCCACCAGGACCAGCACGCTGTCCAAGGGGACGGGAAGGGCCGCATCCATGCGCCGGGACTGAATGGATCGCTGTGGGACCGCTCCCCCCAGCTTCAGTGCTGGCTCCCAGGCAGAGAAACTGAAACGGCAGCAGAACAAGCACTGGGCACCAGGCGGGGATTCCCCTTAGCCATGCTGGGAAGCTGACTTGCCATGCCCTCCCTCCCTCTCCCCCTCCCCAGCAGCACTTTACCTTGGAGGTACTGCAGCAGCAGGGGAATCTCGGTGTTCCACGTGGCCCCCACAGCTGCAGTGGATCCTGCTGTGGAGGCTCTGCAGCACCAGCAAGGCAGCAGCTTGGAGTTCACTGCCCTGCAAAAGGAGACCCCGCCACCACCAGCAGGCGAGCCAGCAAGTTGTGCGGAGTCAGCGTCATGTCTGCGGGGAGAAAGAAATGCTGGGTGAGATGCCGAGCCACACCGTGCCCTGCCACGCTGCCGTCCCTGCAGGACGCAGACCCCGAGGTCAGCAGAGCTCCTTGGGGGAGTTGCTACTCCTACCTTGCAACAGGGCGTTGAGGACATCGGGATCCAGTTCGTGATGCTCAGTGCCCTGCTGTCAGCTCATTTCTCTCAGCCAGGGCGTGGAGACAGCACGAGAGGGGGATCAGCATGCCCGTGTACTTGGCTGGCATCACATAGATCAGCAGCCTCGGCCACAGGAGCTGTAGGCAATGAGACAATTCAGCCCGTCAGCATTTCTGCCTCAGCTCAGAGATGGGGAGGATGGTGTGCATCTCCCTGAGCACTTCAGAGCATGCTGGGGCAGAGCTTTCAGGTGTGCAAAGGGGGCTAGGAACAAATGGCCTGAAGGAGAGGGGAGGAGAGGAGCAGCAGCAGGACAGAGGAGGACTTACTTTGGCCATCCCTCTCACAGAGATGTCCAGGGACCCCAGGACGTCCATGCACAGCCCTTGGAGAGCTCCTTCTTCCTGGGCTTCCTGGGCAGACAGGAGTCCCGCAGCCTGCAAGACAACATTGGGAACCCCCCGCCCCGCTTGCTCTCAGTTCCTGCCCCAGAAGGCTCAGGCGTGGCCCCAGCAGGCTCCCATGCCAGCCTCCTGGCAGCAGATCTCCCCAGGGAAGATGTTGCACGCTGGCCTTACCCTTCTGCTCGAGCTCCGGCTGAACTCGCTGAAGATGTAGCCCACAATGTCCCACGCTGAGCAGCTCTGGGCATTGGCACTGAGCAGCTCCCTGATGAAGTGCAGAACTGCCCTCCTCACCTGCCAGGGGTCAAGTGTGCTTAGCACAGGGCCACGGGGACCTGCCCACGCTGGCAGCGGCATCACCTCTGGCTGTCAGCCCTCCCTCCGGTAAACACGAAGGAGCAGGGAAATGGCTGGCTAGGTCCGAGCCCTTCTAGTTCAGCCTTGCCAGGCTCTGCCTCTGCCCTGAGGGAAAAGGTTGCTCTCCCACCCCGACCCCGACCCCGACGGCACAGTCCCTTCCCAAAGCAGCTCACCCGGATGCTGGGGTCCCTGCACACACTCTTGACAGCCTCCACCACCTGGGGCAGCTTCTCTGCCATAGCGGGCTCTGCAAGAGATCCAGTGAGGCATGCGTGGAGGCACAGCCCAGAGGGCGGAAGAGAGCCCTCCAAGCCCTGACCCCGCAGTACTGACCAGTCACAGCGTGCCAGAGCACCGAGCAGACCCAGGGCTGCCACGCGCACGGCCTCCCTCTCGTGGCCCAGCTGGGACTCCAGGAACAGGATCGTCTCCTCTGGGCAGATGCGAGCTGTGGGGAGGAAATCCCATCCTGCATTAGCAAGCAGCTTACCCCCATTGCTGAGCTTTGGGAGAGAGCTGCCGGGACACCACGGGGCATTGCCACAGCTCCTCTCCTTACCTTGCAGCAGGATGCACTGGCTCAGCTCTGCCTTATGGTCCTGGCTGTGCTCTTTGGTGTCAGCAGTGAGCTGTGGGAACAAGGTGGGAACATGGTGGAGAAAGTCCCAGCAGCATTGAGAGGGCCCGAAAAGAAACGGCGCTGCCAGCTCTCATCTCCCTGGGCACTCGTGGCAAGAGGACCCCCAGCCAAAACCCAGCCCACCCCACAGCGTCCCCAGGGACCCACACACAGGTCTGGAGCACCCGGGAGCCACCCAGGAGCCGAGGCCGAGCAGCATTCAAAGACTCGGGGCTCTGGAGTCCTCCCGAGACTCAGCCAAGAGGGAATTGCTGTGGCTGTGTGGCTGCAGGCTCCCCTTACCTCGCTGTACACGACACTGCTGATGGCAAGACACTTGCCCTTGGGGACGGGGATCTGAACTTGCTCCAGGGCCTCCAGGAAAGAAAGGAGGCTCTGCAAGAGAACAGGAGAGGAAGAAAGGGCCGAAGCCATGTCAAGCCACTTGCGAATGGAGCAACTGTGCACAGCCACAGAGCTCCCTGTGCAAACAGCCCCTGAGCCCTCGTGCCACTTGCACAGACCCCACGGCCGTGCCAGGCCCTGCGCCACACCTCACCTTGGTCACCCTGGAGGCGTCTTGGACCGTCCGGTACTGGTGCAGGAGCCAGAGGAGCTGCTCCCAGACATGCTCCCGGTGCTCCTCCTTGTGCAGGAGGACACGCATCAAGGGAGTCATGGCCCCGATGACAGCTTGCTTGTCCTGGAGAGGAAGCGGGGAGACCCAGCGTCAAAGGCTGAAGGTCTGCCCTGCCCACAGAGAGGCCTTCCCCTTGCCCTTTTTCCCTCCCTCTCCCTCGCCCTTCTGCCCTGCAGGAGATGGGCTTGCTCTGGAGGGCAGAGAGGTTTTCCCCACCCCTCACCCCCCGCCCTGCCTGCCCAAATGCCCTGGGCTTCAGCTGCTTCCCTGCAGGGAGCCCCCAGCCCCAGGCACAGAGCCAGGCTGGGGCCTTCTGCAGCCAGCCCGCTGGGCACAGACAGAGGCACAGGCACAGGGGACATCCCTGCTGCCGTCCCCAGCTGGGAAAGCAGCACTTCTCACCTCTTCCTCCTGGCAGTCCAGCAAGGTGCTTGCCACAGAGCACAACACCTGGGCAAGGTTTTCATAGAGCTGCTCCTTCTCCGGAGCAGGCAAGGAGCATCCTTTCCAGGTGCAGATGTAAACGCTGACCACTTTGGCGCACTGCTCCAGAGCTGCACCAAGAGAAGAGAAAAAGGAGCCTGGAGCAGGGAAGGGAGCGGCACCCCCCGCCAGCCTGCTGGAAGCCCCATTTTTGCCCATCAGGGCACATTCACCCGGTAGGAAAGCCCAGGAAGGCAGCAAAGGGACCCAGGAGTTCCTGGGCACCTTCACCTCCAGCCCACAGAAACCTTCACCCACCCTTTCCAGGTGCCCCCAACGCTTTGGGATGGCAGCAGCGTGGGCTCAGGCCCGCCATGCCCGCTCTGAGACCAGAGCGAGGTGCCAGGGGCTGCCCTGCCCCTGCCCCTGCCCCTGCCCCTCCCCAGGGTCCACTCACCACCGCAGGCAGCACGCAGGATCCGGCCGCTCCCTAACTGGCCCACCACGGTGCGCAGCCCCAACAGCACCACGCGCATGAAGGGGATGCACTGCAGGGCTGCGAAGAGAACGGAGAGTGGCCACGGTCAGAGCCCCCAGCCGGCACTGGCAGCGAGGGAGGAGGCGCTGCAGCCACGGTGCCCCCCAGCTCAGCACGGCTTGCGTGGAGAGGGGAAGGATCCCTTTCTATCCCAGCTCTCCCAGCCTGGCCCAAAGCGGGAGGGGAGGGAGGGAGGGAGGATGGCGGTGCTGGACCGTACCGTTGGTGCTGAGGAGTTTGCCCACAGTGATGAGCACGAACTCCTTGGAGATCTGCCCTGGGGCATTCAGCTGGGCCAGGAGCTCGGCTAGCACGAAGCTGAAGTGGGAGCGGGCCAGAGCCACCAAGACGTCACTGGCAGCCACCTTCGTGTCTTCCGTCACGCCCTGAAAAAGAGGCTCAGGTTGGCTCAAGAGCCTCTGTGGGGCCCCAAGGCCAGCAAAACCTGTCTGTGTGCTCCGCATTGCCCTCCAATGCCTGGCAGGCTGCTCCCCTCGCCTTCCAAGAGCACCATCTCACCTGGTCAGCTGTCAGGTCCCAGGACACCTCTGCTAGCAGCCGGTTGACGACACCGCACTGCAGGCAGCTGTCATCACCCCACAAGACGCTCTCCAGCGCGCAGTACGTCTGCGCTCTGTCACCCTGGGGACAGAGCACCATAGGGATCAGTTGCACTTGCTTTGCTCCTCTTGCCAGCACGCCGCCAGCTGCCCGCCCTCGCTCTGCAGAGCCTAGGGATGTGCTGCTGGGGCTGGGAAGCTGCAATAGGGACACAAAGCCCCTGGCCTCTGGGCTTGGGCAGCCATGGGACCTTGGGATGGGGCCCGGGCAAAGGACTGCTCCTTGAGAAGCTCCAGGCTGGGCACTGCCCTGTGCCGGGGCTTCTGGACGAGAAAACCAGGAGGGCAGAGGTGCCACCAGGCACAGGCTCCCCCTGCTCCCCCCCCTGCATCATGGTGGGGAGCCCCCAGCTCACCTCCTCGTCTTGCAGGCGCTCTAGCAAAGTCTCAACACTGGCAGAGGTCGGGGCCGCTTCAGGGACAGGCCCTGGCACCCTGCCTCTGCCCTGGCGACGGCTACGTCTGGGCCAGCAGCCCACACCTGGAAGGAAGGAAAGAACGGAGCAGGTGGCATCGGTGCTGCTGGCCGCACCGATGATAGGGACCGATGGTAGGGACGAGGATCTTGGCCAGCTGGGAGAGAAATCTCCGCAGGAGACACAGCCCCAAGCAGCCTGCTGGGAAGGGTCCTGCTTCAGCCCCCAACCTCCCTCCCGCTGCCCCTCACCGCTAAGGGCTCTCAGCCTCTCCATCGCAGCAGGATGTCCCCAGATAGACACAACGCTCTCTCTGGGTCCTCCTCCTACCGGCCCCACAAGCAACTGGGCCACAGCTGGCACGCACGGCAGAGGGATGTAGGAGGGATACACTGTGACCTCAGCACCAGGGCCTGTTACCACACAGAGGGCCGCCCCTAGCTCATGGCTGAAGTAGACTTGAGGAGGAAACTTCTGCACCGAAATCCATCCTGGCAAACCTACCGTATCTTGGTCTGGTTGTCGCCTTTCACCACTTCTCCCCTGGGGTCATAGAATCACAGAACGTCCTGAGCTGGAAGGGACCCACGAGGATCACTGAGTCCAACTCCTGAGTCTCCAAAGTGTTATAAATGAGGCCTCAACTCAATCTGAATTTTGTAATGTTTATAAAACAAATATTTCTAAAAGGTAGAAAAGGCAAGTAAACAGCGCTGGGTGTGCGGGGAGCCTACGCTCCACCAACACGCACACACAAACATCAATTTTCTAAATATACAGCACATTGCTTTACATACTAAACCCAAGTATGCCTGTACATACGCACAATCAGGAAAGGTAACAAACAATCCTTTAAGTTCCATAACTTACTAAACAGTCTCCATTTCCCATTCCTTTTCTTGATTACATGCAAGTCTCCATTTTCCATTCCTTTTGAACAATATGTCTGGCTTTAAGTTGTCAAGCAACTCGGTCTTCAGGCCTTCTGTATCCCGTCGTTCTTCCCAGATCGAAGAAAAGCGTATCCATTTCCTTTTCAAGGCCAATAGGCCTGGGTCAAAAGGCACGTCCAGGTCAGCAGGGGGTGTAACAGCAAAAGCCTTGGATGGCTGTAGCAGCAGAGGGGCCCATGGCGTAGCAGAAGGATCAGTAAAGGAGCCCGCAGCTCCCTCACTGTCATCTTCTGTTCCCAGCCACCCATCTCCTAAAAATCTCCCTGTCTGTGTTTTTGTGTGTCCGTCACCACTAGAGGTGATGTTTAGACTCAGTTGCACTACTCTGTCATGTTCTGACCACCAGCAGCTACTGCTCCATTTTCTTCCTCTCTGCCTTTCAGTCCTTCACCACAAGCGTCAAGCTGGCCACACCTTCTGACACTGAACAGCTCAGTCTCCTCCCAGTCCCTGTTTTCCTCCTCTTTTCCTCTCTTTTCAGCCCTTCATCTGGCTGAATCAATATTTCCCTACCAATACTGTGCTGACACGAGCCAGTAAAGTGTTAAAAATATTTTAAAATGCCATCAGTTTTCAGGAACTACAAAGCACTGAAGACCAGCTACCACCACTACCATGTGGTCGTATGGGGTGGAAGTGGCTTGTAATACCGTTATGAATACTGAGACATCACCGCTCTAGAAGTGATATTTGGCCACCACTTGCTAGCAAGAGTAAAGAGGCAGACATTGAGTGGAGACAAGAACAGCCAATGTCTGGAAATCGCTGTCGGAGACTTCTGATGGAGAAAACTGGCCATAAATGACAGAGAAATCTGAAGAAGGGTTGCATGCAATGAGGTTATCCTTCAGCTGTGATATGTGGCATGCTTGAACTCAAATAAAATTTTCTATTATTGTAAAATTTTCTTGTGCATTCGAAGAATTATTTCAGCAATTGAAAAGTACTTCTTTGCCACCTAGCTGACTCAATACTTGGTAAACAGTTTTTTCTTGGAACTTCCTAATTAAATTAGTTTTGGACTGAATGCAAGCACAATAAAATCCAGCTCTAAAGGTCACGTTTTGGAAACATTATAAGCCACTTAACAACAGAAGCTTAGAAGGAGAATGCTTTCTCAGCCTTTATGGCTGCCTTGCAACACTGTAAAAGCACTGGGGCAGCAGTATTGCTGTAATTAAATATCCTTTGCAACAGCCCGGGGAAGCGGAAACACTCTGGTCGTCTAAGATGTGTAGTCATAGAGCAACGCTCTTGGGACTCTTGCATAAGGATTAACTCTTTCTCAGGCATTTTAATGTGACAACATCAGCTCCCACATATGTAGCTCAATCAACCAGCTTGTATTGATAAACTGATCAAATTTATATGTTTTATTGGTTGAAACTGAAAGGGAGGGAATTCTCGAAGCTGCCTGATGTGGGGTCCAGAAGATCTAGCTTTAACTATCTGAGACTGTTCCCTTCCTCACTCTGCCATGGTTGCACTTTCAAGGGTAAGGAAAGAAGCCACAACAGCAGGCAGACTCCCAGGTACATTACACATGAAGGCCTCCCAAACAGAAAGGAGAGCCTGACAGGCCAGGGACATCTCTGTCTGTCTCATCTGAGTCCTCCTGAGCCTGTTGGTCAGGGTCTCACCACCGCATCTACTTCACCAGAGAAACAGCTCCTCAGCTACTGCTTGCTGTCTTGTTAGATACAGGTCCCTAGGTATTAATCTGAGAGCAACATTTGGTTATCCACATGCAATACGAGCTTTGGTGCCCCCTAAGAATTCTTCAGTGATAAAAGGTAAAAGAAAACCTAGGGAAGTGGTCGCTCTGACAAGTTATTCTATGGGAATCAAACCTGCATAGGCAGCCATGTGATCTCAGTATCATTAAAAATATAGAAATAACACAGTTTCTTCAGTTTAAAAAATAAATTGTTAGCTAAGGGATAAAATATGCAAGAAGACAGGACAACTGTCTTTCCTTCAGGTTCACCTGGGCTTTGTGGTTGATTCAGGTCTCGTGCATCACCCATGAGGTGCCTGACTGCATTCAGGGCAGTTTGTGAATTTTTTGTCAAACATTTTGGCTGATACCAGGGGCTGAATAAGTATCAAAAGTAGGAAAAAGCTGCATAACTTGCACACTTAACTATGAAAGTAAAAGGTATAAGAATGCTCTATTTCCTGTGGAGGGAACACAGAAACACATTTAGAAAAGTGGCTTTCACGTTTCCTTGAGATATACAAGTTAATTCTACATATCTCAGCAGCTTAAATCTTCTAGGAATATTTGCTTCTTGACTGACATTGGAGAATTTCACAGTTGTTTGGCAGAATTTTTAAAATTTGGTCTTATAAGAGAGGCTAAGAGGTCTAGCTGAGAGCTACAACAGTTATCCTCTCTGTTTGGGGCATGGATGACAATACACAATTCACACTGCCCAGTGAGTAATACTCACACTTACTTGCTGCATTGCATTTCAAGGCTTGTATTAGATTCTAGTTCAAATACAAAGAGTAGGATTAGACTAATGTTGTAGGTTTATTTCTACATGGTTTAAAAATTAGCATTTGCTGGATTGTTTACAGCTTATTTGTGCGTTTAATACATTGAACAGTGATGTATGATTTAAGTCGCAAACTCCAGTACAATATTTCTACATCCTACAGGAATGCAGAAAATTTCCTCGCGCCCTCCCCCCCACTACATATTCGTACTTCTTATATCTGCCAGATGGTGTGGAGCAAATTATTCTAGCACTCAGACCATGTGAATTTTAAGCAGATGAATATAACAGTCTGCACAGCACTTTGCCTCCTTTTATCATTGACTGTGGTGCTGGTCTGTTTGATCACACCCCAGAACAAACAAATCTCATTAATCAGTGTTTTCCTTTTCTTACCCTTCGCTGCTTTTTCTTTTCCATTCACTTTTGGAGATTTTAGGGGAAGCTTTGTTTTTAGATGGAGATGAATTTTTTAGTTTGCTTGGTGCTTTTATTTAAAGGTGAATTTAGTGTTAAGGAAAGGTGCCTGCTTGCTAAAGATGAGAAATGGCGCTGTTTGTGTATTAATGAAACTTGGTCTGGACATCTATAATGGAAGATATCCAGTAGTAATCTACAGGTAATTACATCTCTATAGTTGAAAAGGTAATGTGATTTAAAATCCACATACCTTACATTAGTAGGACTCTTACTGAAGCTGTCATTGAAGATTACGAATTATGCTGCTTGGATATAGTTACCTCACCTGAGATGTCAGCGACATTAGCTAAGCAATAATTTGATGCCATCTTTTAATTTACTCTGCTGTGACTGAACTGCTCTCAGAGCATTCCTGACTTTCTGCTTTAATTTCGGATCACAGAGTTGTAAAAAGATTGGTCAGAAGGGACCTTTGGAGATCCTGCTGTCCATGCTCCATGTGAAGTGGGACTATTAACAGTGCCAGACCAGGTCAGCCTTGGCTTTATCTGGGTGAGCCTTGAAAACCCTGGAGGATGGGGATTTCTCTGTCTCCTTGAGGAAGCAGTGGTATGAATCTGCTCTAGTGCTGCAGTGTCCTCCTAGTGAGTTTTTCTTTCTGTCTAGCCCACATTTCCCTATCTGCAATTTGTGTCCATTGCCCCTTGTTGCATTTTCTGTCCCTACTGAGAAGAGTTTGGGTCCTTGTGACTCCCTTTCAAGCACTGTAGGCTGCTACTAGATTGCTGCTTAGCTCTTCTTTTCCAGACTGAGCAAGCTCAGCTCCCTCAGCTGCTCCTGGTTGCTTGCTGATGGCCAATG